AGTAACTATGACTAAAAATATAGTATAAAGAAAACTATTTGAAAAAAATAAATAAATAAACGATGCACCTTTGATTTAAATTACGCAGTTCGAAAGAGTAAATAGAAATTTTCAAAACAGTTATTCAAACGAAACCATGCAACTTAAACAATTAAAATGAAATTCGAAAAAGAAAAAATTACTTAAAATAATAATTTTGTTTGCAGATTAAAAATATAATATAAAGAATATTATTTGAAAAAAAGGAATGATGGTGACTTTTTTTTCCTCTTACGGGAAAGGAAACTAGGTTGCCGTATCTTAAGAAGTTCGCCAAGTGAACTATTCTTGGCGCAAACTGAAAAAAAAAGTGCCAACATAAATTTGTGAATTTCTCCGTAAATTTCGCTCCAAATTTTACAAAATTTCATATTTAGGCGTAATTTGAGTCGTAGAATCGAAATATGTAAGAACATTGGTATGTTATTTCAGAAAAAGTCCGATTTTGTATCAAAATACCTATGTTAGAATAGTGCTATATATAAATCTAATATATATCCTAAGTTGCGCTTTCGAGACATGAAGAACGCAATTTGAATTTTGTCAATCGGCCCAGTAGAATGGGAGAAATGGAACTGTCCCATTTTTTTTTTTTGAGCAGTGTATATATGTATCTCACATAACTAAAATACGATTAATAGTAGAATGTTAAAAATTTGTACATAGGATTGCTCTAGCATCTAGTTGTGCATCTCCCTTTTTTATAGCAGTTGTCAGGATCAAATGTGTGTGTGTGTGTATATGTACAAAGAACTAATTAAATTAGGTAATTTTTTATGCTTAAAAAGCCTCATACCTACACTAAAGGTACTACCCACCTCCCTTAAAAGTCTTTACCCAGGCTTTATTTTTTCAATTGTTATTTATAGTCATGTACTTCAAATTACAGAAGTGTTTTAATGACACAAATATTAATAGTTTGGCAATGTTGAGTTTCAGCAAAGAATGTATTTTGGGCAATGATGAAATCTTGACTTTTAATGGGGTCTCCCTTTTCCTATACTTATATTTGGAAAAGTTTTATTCTCAGTATGAAAAAATATAAATTAGAAGAAGGTTGACTCCCATATGGCAAAATTTGATTGGGGTATTTAATTTCAAAATTTGCAATTTTTTATGTCATTTTCCATTTGCTTTGAAGTATCGGTTAATTACGTTATGATAATTTGAGGAAATAGCTTTTAATGAAGTGCAGCAAAAAGTGTGTGTAATAGATAGGAGTCGTACAAGGAAATCATGTGATGTCCATATCAGATTTTTTTTATTAATAAGTAAATCTATTTCTATTCATTAACGGTTAATATGCTTTTTTTGTAGTTTTGTAGTCATTAGATTTCTTTTTATGTCTACAATTTAGTTGTTAGTGACAACTTGCATTAGACTTTTTAATATTTTAATTATATTTTGGGGAAACATGAGGTAAGTTGGGTTCACATTTGTGTATTAAACTATCAGTAAAGTATGAAAAGTTATGTATATATTGTGAACCTTGTCCTTGATATCATCTCCTGTAGATGATCTTGAAAGTAAATAAATATTAAGCATCACCTGTTTTTAACAATTATCTCCGCAGACAAAAATCATACTGCTTTGGGTTAACTAGTTATATGACATTTCGTTGGCTGCTCATTGTTTGCCTTCTTTTATACAATACTACTTTTTGTTTTGGTTCAAAATATTCTGTAGCATTATTATTACTGTATTATTTTCAGTAAAGTTATATGTAAAGTAAAGTTTGCTAGTGTGACCTGTATAGGCAAAATGCGAACTTTTGTTGAATGTGTATGTAAGTTGAGTGTAGGAAACTGTGTATATTTTAAGGAAGACTATGAAAAAAGAATTATTCTGCATTTTGTTTGCAGATTAAAATATTATTGTAAATATTTATAAAAGCAAACACTTAATGCAGAATATTTTTATTCCTTGATGAAAAGGGGCTCAATGGCATTTTTTCTTGAAATGAATAGAGTTTTTCTACTAAACTAAAATCAGTCTGAGCAGGGGCGTAGCTAGAAGGGGGCAAAATCTGTCCCCGGGCACAGAATCCAAGGGGCACCAAACTGATGTGACGACATTTTAGAATTAAATGTTTTCCATCCTTGGCAAGCAGTAGGGGGTACGAAATCTTCAGTTGTCCCTGGGTGCTGAAAACCCTAGCTACGACTCTGAGTCTGAGGCCGAGTTTTGCTTTTTAAACCTTTTTGGAGTATTAAAGGATTAAATTTCACATTATATAACTTTAATATATTAATTTATCCATTATTATTGATATGTTTAATTATTATATTGTGCTATGGTTGTTAGTATTTAATTGTGTGTGTAAAAAGGAAATGCTTTTTATTTGTGATAAACGATATCCTTTTAACATGTTGTGTTAAAAGGATACCATGTCCCAGAAACTGATATTCTGTATAGTAATACCCAAAACTAAATCCAATATGAGAATTCACAGTTGTTTAATTGAGTACATCTCAAATTGACATGTTTCATTTTTGGGGCATAGGTCTATGAATTTAAAAACATAGGTCCATTTTTTGAATTTCGCATATATGGAATAATTTTTTATCAAATACTGTATGTCTCACATATGAATGTCAATATTTATTTGAATCTGTCCAAGAAAAAAAAAACACATTTAAGTTTTATATATATATATGTTACGGTGAAACACCGAAATCTGGTGAATGTCAACATTCACATAGTCGATTGGCATATGTCCAAAATATTTTCCAAATACTCTTATTTCTGACTTACACCGATAAATGTCGACATTCACCATGTACTAATGGTGAATGTTGAACATATAAGAATATTATATTTTCTCCTCCGTAATTCGGTCACGAAAAAACGCACTTGAGATTTAAAATAAGAACATAAGAACTTAAAACACACAGTACATTCAAAATGAGAAAGGAAAATAATAGAAGTTAAAAACTTACTAAATTATGTGATTCAAATCTTATTTATTTCAACAACTTAAACTATTATGACACTTTGAGTTGCACAAGAGGCCCTTGCTTTTAGAACTGCATTTATCTGTGGAACACTTCTTTTTGCAGTAACAGCGTGTACATACACTCCTCTCTTTTTGACCTACACCAGAGCATATCTGTGATTGTCGACATACACCGGTGAGGGTCTGAATGTACAAGAATGTAATGCAATATTCGATCTTTCACCGACGTATTTGGTGAATGTTGACATTCTCCGGTGAAAGTCGACATTCTCCAATTTCGGTCTTTCACGGTAACATATATATAATATTACAAAGATAAATCAAGCCAAAAAAGGAGTATTGATGGAGGACACAAAAAATTGATGTAGGCCACAAAAAAGGCACATAATAATAAAAATAATAAAACTTACTAATAAAACTTATTGAATAATATGATATAGAACAAACCATGGATCTGGTCAATACACAACAATCGTCATATGCGCAGTTGCATGTGTAATTGGGGTAGTATAGCCTATAAACAAGTCAGAAGCTGAGGTCATATGTGTCGTAGCTTATTATAGACCAGAATATAGTATGAGTGCAGTTGTTATGGGCTTCAGTAAATGTGATTATGCCTTTATCACCATCCCACATATGAGTTGTCGGTCTTTTTGAAGAAATTGTATGGCTGATGTACGAGCAGATTGGCAGCAAACATGTTAATTATAGTATTAGTGAATTATGTAACCTTTTTTTTATATCTATAAATGCTTTTCTTTTATCATGAAAATTAAAAAACAAGTTTTTTTAGCTTTATTGTTAGATGTAAGATTTCAGAATTTTTCATTTATTAAGTTGCAGCAGTTCAGCTCTGATTTATGAACTGAAAGCAAGAAAAGGTCATTAGCTCAAACTATAAAAAAGTGCAAAGAGTAATATGAAATTTTTAAGAATGATTGGTTTTAATATTTAACTAGCTCATACTGTAAACAAGGACAGTATCAGGTATATTGTCAAAAACAAAGTTTTAATTTAAATGAAAATAAAATCAATGTGTATAAGCTGTGTATGAAACAAAGAATATGGATAATTTCCAAGAGTTTGTTAATTTTAATATTTAATAAGGAATCTTGCAGACTGAACAAAAGATTCTTTTTAAAAAGGAATGAATTAAATGTGAATTAAATATCTATTTGTTAAGATATCAGTGAAAAATTATATTTTTACTTCATATTATTTAAAAGTATTTAAAATATTTTACTGAGTAAATGTAAGCAAAGAATAATAAAAATGAGTGAAGTTTATAAAATTCTGTTGCATAAAAATGTCATTAAAAATTTAGATAAATTAGAAAATTGGTGAGCTAAATTGAAAGATTTGATGTATTTTTATTTATTAGTATTATCGAATCAAATTCTTTGATGTTTAAACTGCTGGTGAAAAGGATTTGAAAATATTAAGTATTGAAATGGAATTTGAATTTAAAATTATAAACTTTGAAATTTGAATGTTAGCAATTTTTTATAATCTTATGAGCTTTATAAAAATGCATCGTGTCTTTTATTTAGGATGTGTTAGCTCAATAATATTTTTATGCAATCCAATTTGATAAAGCCCTGAATTAGATGTTAAATTTAATATAATTATTTTTTATAATACTTGTTTAAAACAATTTACGATATTGAGATAGTTAAAAAAAATTAATGTGAAAACTTTCAATTGTTCTTGTAATCTAATTATTATTAGTAATTTAATTTTTTTATATGAAATTTCACAGACTTTAATTAACAATGATACTTTATACCACTGTAATAGTGACATTTCATTAATTTTTTAGGCATAATTTTTGTTTTTTAATTTTTTTTTTATGCATTGTTGATGTTAAATCTCATTTAATGTTATGTTAAATCATATCAATTTTTTAAAATTTTATGATTTTTAAACATCATGAATCGAAAATTTAACGAAGTTCGAAAATTTTGAGAAAAAATAAAAACTTATCCTGATTTGATGAAAATTGAAATGGAAATAACAGTATATCCAGAAGAAAGCATGACTGGTGGTAAAGAGTGCAATACCCAAGTAAGCCTTTATGTCAAGTGCTCTGAAAAATATCCCAATTCTCCACCTTATATTGATTTTAGGAATTCCAAAGGCATTTCTAATCAAGATTTATCGTGCTTAAAATCAGAACTACTAAGTAAATCAAATGAACTAGTTGGAAGAGAAGTTATTTTAGAACTTGTTTATCATACAAGATCATTCCTTTATTCTCATAAAAAGCCTCATTATAATTCGTTTTTTGATGAAATGGTGTGTAACAATTTGAGAAAAGAACGGGAAGAAGCAGAGCGTTTGAAAAAACAAAAACAAGAACAAGAAACTCTAGAGTATCAGAAGCTTTTAGCTATTGAGCAAGAAAAGCAGCGTAAGATGGAAGCTTTGAAAGATGCTAACAAGAGAACAAGGTTTGCAGATGAAATTGTTGGTGGAGGTTTCTCCATGGGAGATTACAGAGCACGAAAAAATTCTGTCTCTCGTCAGAGGAGTCGGAGTACATCCATTGGAAAAGACATCTGCTGTAGTGAAAATGAACTACAAGTAGAATGCAAAGAAATACTGAATACCAAACTTAAATTTGTAGGGAGAAAGGAATTTGCTATCACCTGTGGACGTTGTTTAGGACATAATGAAAAAGGATGTGTTACTTATCTTGGATTGGATACAGCAAATGGTACTTTTGTATGCATAATCAAGTGGACATTAAATTTTAATGCAAGTCATAAACTAAAAGGGGAAGAATGGGATGCTCTTCAAAAGGAACAAAGCAGTTATTTAAAACAAATTGCTGCAATTGAGCAGGAGTTCAAATCTTTAAGACAAGTCAGTTATAAACATCTTGTGCATTACTTGGGAATGAATTATATTTCTAAAAAAGACAAAATTGTTATTTATGTGCTGCAGGAATATGTTTCAGGTTGTACTATTTCCCATATGTCTAATGTTTGTCGCCTCACCATCCCACAAGTGCAGCATTACACTCGAGAAATTCTTGAAGCTTTGAGGTATTTACATGATAATTCTATTGTTCATAAAAATTTACGAGTTTCTAGTTTGTTTATAGACTGTAAAGGACTTATAAGGTTGTCAGATTATAGTTTGGATAAGAGATTATATGATCTGTATAGGACACTAACAAAAGAACAAGAAATAGACAAATATCCACCAACCATAGGAAAAGGAGGGAAGAAAAGTGACATTTATCGACTGGGTGTGGTCTTGCTGTCTCTTATTGATGAATCTCCATTGAAAATGTTACCTGTGAATATTCCAGATTACATCAATCCAACTTTTAAGGACTTCCTGAATAAATGCTTATTACATGATGAACATGAGCGTTGGTCTGCAGAACAATTATTATCACATCCTTTCTTAGCATTCCCGTCTGCACATGTTATGTTACCTAAAGAAATTGAAATCAAGGATGAAGATGATGATGAAAATTCTATAAACTCATTATTGAATGATGAAGCCATTCAAGGATCACGATTGCATAATGAGTTTGATATTTTAAAGATTTTGGGTAAAGGTGGATTTGGGCATGTGTGGAAAGTGAAAAACAAACTAGACTCTCGAATCTATGCACTTAAAAGAATCCCTTTAAATCCTTCAAATAAGCAGTTAAATCGTAAAATCAAACGAGAAGTGAAACTTCTCTCGAGATTAAATCATGAAAATATTGTTAGGTATTATAATTCATGGATAGAAGCAACACCAGAAATGGATCATATGCATCAAAATAATGAAAGCTTTAACCCTGGAGACAGTGTAAAAAAAACTGAGTCATTTGGTAAAACCAGCTCATCTGTTCAGTGGGACATTCATGATAAGGCTGTGTCTTCTTCAGAAGAGGATGAGTGTGATGATGAAGATGAAGATGATGATGATTTCATAGTTTTCATGTCAGAAAATTCTAAGAATAATAAGCAAAATAGTGAAAAAATAATAAATATGGATGAGAGTTCTACTGTTGAGAATTCTACTTTAGAATCAGAACATGGCCATTCAACATGCCGAGTGAGGCAGTATATGTACATTCAAATGGAATTTTGTGAGAAAAGTACTCTTCGAACTGCTATTGATAATGGTTTGCATAAGGATGTTTCCTTGGTATGGCGTTTGTTTCGTGAAATTGTAGAAGGTTTGCATCACATACATCAACAAGGTGTCATTCATAGGGATCTAAAGCCTGTTAATATTTTTTTGGATTCAAAAGATCATGTGAAAATTGGGGATTTTGGGCTAGCTACTGATGTTATTTCAAAGCCTATTGCCAGTGATGTACCCTCTATTGACCAGGACAATCCTTCTCGCTCTGAAGCAGATGATGGAACTCAGACAGGGAAAGTGGGTACTACATTCTATGTGGCTCCTGAGCTTGCATCTTCTTTTAAAGTGAGTTACAGTCAAAAAGTTGACATTTACAGTCTTGGCATAATTTTTTTTGAAATGTGCTATCCGCCTCCAGTGACGAATATGGAAAGAAACATAATAATTTCAAATTTGCGGCATCGAGATATAATTTTCCCTTCTCAAGCTGATGAAATCCTAACTGATGAAATGCGACAAATAATTGCTTGGCTTTTACAGCATGATGTTACAAAGCGACCAAGCTCTAATGAATTAATAACTTCAAAATATATTCCACCCTTGTTAATGGAAGAAACTGAATTAAATAGTTTACTGCATACTACTGTTTCAAATCCCCAGAGCAGGATGTACAAACATATGATCAGTGCTTTATTTGATCAAGAAGTTTCAACGGAATTTGATTTTACTTATGATGTAGATGTTTTTAGAAGCCAAAGTTTAAAAAGTAAACCTTCTCAAATTTTCAGTAATGTTGCTGATTTGCTACATAAAATAATGAGAATTCATGCTGCAGTTTCATTTTCAGTACCAACACTCATGCCTAAGTGTTCAGCTATTGAAAATGAAAACTCTGTTCATATAATGGAGCATGGTGGTGGAATTGTGATGTTGCCATTTAATTTGAGGATTCCATTTGCACGTTACATTGCCAGAAGAGAAATTGATCATTTAAAACGTTTTTCTCTAGAAAAAGTTTTCAGGCAGCAGAAAGTTTTTGGCTGTCATCCCCGAGAACAGTACGAATTTGCTTTTGATATTGTCTCTCCTACTCCTGATTCCTTTATGCCAGATGCTGAAATTCTGGCTGCCGTTTCAGAAATAATTTGTGAATTTTCATCTTTAGAAACAAGAAATTACTACATTCGTTTAAATCATGCATTGTTATTAAAATCCCTCTTTATGTATGCAGAAGTTGATGAAACACTAGAAACTGAAATATGTAAACTGGCTGGTGAGCAAAAGAATAAGACTGTTACTAAAGCTTTATTGTCTGATGAACAATGCAACTTTGAAATTAGTCAACGGTCAGTCAGTAGGTTAAGTCAGTTTATTGAACTGGAAGAAAGTATAGATAAAATATCCACTTATTTACATCCTGTGACACAAAAGAAAGGAAGAGCATGTCTTTTAGCTAAAAGTAGTCTTAAAGAATTAAATAATATTGTTTCCTTAGCTCAGGCTTTGGGGGTGAAATTGCCGATTGTCATATGTCCTGGATTAGCTCATAATATTACTCTATTTTCAGGAATGATATTTCAGTGTGTGTGCAAATTAAAAGCTTCCAAAAAGAAAAATAATCTGGATATTTTAGCTGCTGGTGGAAGATATGATAAATTAATCCAATCATTTAAATTGAAAACTTTATCAGAAAGTGGAAAGTCATCGAACCAGTCAGGAGTAGGTGTTAGCATAGCTATTGAAAGCATAGTTGCTGCTGAAGTGGAAGCCAACGAATCTCAAGAATCAGGGGTGGCAGACTTTCTTATTCATTCTGAAGATGCTGGTATTTCTTCAGAGAAAGCAGCTTTAATGAAAGAATTATGGAACTTAGGTATCAGAACAACAGTTTTGTACGATAAAAATATGACTTTGAATGATGCTGCAGACTTTTGCAGAAGTCATGGAATTCAGCACATTTTAGTTTTACGAAAAGAAGAGCCAGGAATCATTAAAATCCGTTCCATTGAGAAAGACAGAGTCTATGAGAAAAAGATTATCCATTCTGAAGTAAAAGATAATCTACCTAAATTATGTCCCAAGCTTTTCACTGAAAACTGCCAGACAAAAGTTGATAATACTCGCAATTTTTCTTTGGCAAATTCTTCTTCTAATTCTGTGTCAATGAATGTGCATTTCTTGCCCCAAGATAAAACACACAGTAATCGCAAGCGAGAGCAAAATATTAGAACACATGTCATATCTACCTTACAAGTCTCCTCTAGTCGATCATGGGAATTGATCCCAGTTGATTTAAAAATGCCAGTTATTGGAACTATAATATCTCAGTGCGATATTTCTGCAAGTGTTGACACAATCCAAAGGAGTTTTGATGATATTATTGATGAATTTACAAAATATAAAAAGTATCTTTCACAATTATGTGAAGAAATCTGTGATATAAGAACCAAAAAAACAAATTGTGCTATTGTTTTATATAGTCTCCCAGACAATAATTTCAGGGTCTTGCTTTAACTTTTTTGACCTAATTTTGTGTTTAAGAAAAGTACAATTTTACATGTATATATATAGATATATATTTTCATCTTTATTTTTTATACATTTCAGATTCAAAATGTATTTTTCATACATAAATGACCTAGTATTGATTGTTTTTACTCTACTAGGTTAATACTTCATTTTAAATTCATATCTTGTTCTCACATTGAAACTGCGATAATTTGAAACTTGAGAATTATTGGCATCATTATAATGTTTTAATGTATAGTATTTTCAGATTGACCACCAGTGGTCTATTTGGTTCAGAGCCAATTTTTATGTGTTGTAATCATATAGACAACTGCTGACACTTTTCTTTGGTTGTATATAATTAAGTTTATTTATTTATTATTTTAATCTTTGACTTTTCCATCTCTCCCCCTCCCCCACCCTCATCATGACTAAAGATATATTTGGGTCAGTTGTGATTAATAGCAAATGTATGTAAGCATGAATCATGATTTTAAAATATATCGAAAGCATTGTTTTGAAGATTACTTCAAAATAATGCTCTTAAATACATTTACAGGCATTTTTATTGTCATCTTCAGTGTTATTTGCCTAATGATAGGCATGATTCACATTTCATTTTCATTTTCCTCAAGTGTTAGCCTTGTAGTACTTGGAATAAATTAATAAACTATTAATTTATTTTAACTGTGTATTAATTATATTTTACAGAAATAATTTAGATATTCCTCTTTCCTTGACTTTGTTGTTCAAAACTTTTTAGCATAACTCAATATAAATACTTTCCTTCATATGACGGGTTCTTTGCTCAAAACATTTTTGATCCAGATGGTTCCCCAAAACAGTATCTTTTGGATTCTTCTGCAGCAGATATATCACAACATATGTATGTATCAGAAATGCTGTGGATATCTTGCAAACGTGTATTATCTAGCATATCTGGATAATACATATTTGTTTAATATTTATATAGATGCTGAAGATTTGCCAATAGTCAGATATGAATAAGAGGTCAAATGTATGGCTAATTAAATATATATGAAAAAGAAAATTCCTTTCTGTATTTCTCCCCCCCCCTTTTCTTTCTTTCTTTTTCTTTAAGTTAACATTGTTGATTTTATGAAGTAACAATGTTTCAAAACTTCTTTGGTCTGGACGTATAAATATTTTTTATAGTTTCAAAATTGGTAAAAAATAATATTTCGTGAGCCTTTTTTCTCAAAATACACCTGCACTTCTTTTTATAAGGAATGCATTTTTTTAAAAAAGCTCACTCTATATGTGTTACTAACTAGTGAAGAAGGATACTCCTTAACCATCCAAAAGAAGTTGTGACAAAAGACTAAACAGCTCCAAGAGAAGATTCTATACTTTTTAGAACATATTCTAGTATATTCTGCATTTTTTCCATTTATTTTTACTGCAATATGCAAACATTTAACTACTAATACACTCAACATATTGCAAAAACTGTTGCTCAATGATTTCAACATTATTTTATATACAATCTGGCTAAAATAAATTCCACATTCAGTGGCTAGATAGTCGAATACTTGATCAAGCTGGATGTTTAATATGTAATATCCTGATGACCTAGGTATTTCTTTTACCACTCACCCAAAGTGCCAAGAAAAGTTTGCTGCCATGCCAAAAACCTTTTGACCAACAGTGTAGGAATCTTTCTGGTGTCACAAATGTAACTTATGATACAGTGAACCCACTGCCAGTACAAAAGCCTTTCTTCCTCTGGCAAATTTTTCGTTTCTTGGAAGAATGCAATAGCTTAGCATGATTTTCATGTGATGGTAAGTTGAGAAGTTGAATTTGGAAGGGTGGGATTTTATGGAAAAAAAAAAAATGGTACTTATTGGTTATAGGGACTATATGTTGACGAATTCTTTTCTGAGTTATCGGCAACACGAACATTGGTGATATTTTCCGATATAATTCCATATATTCAATTCATTCAAAACATATTTGAAGTATAATGTGTTTAATAAGTTTTACTTAAACAAAAGTGTTGTGATCTGTTACTAGGAATAACAACAGATATTCGATACAAACTTTATAATCAAAATTTAAATTATAATGGTAATGGATAAACATTACTTACAAACAAATTATTGTTCCATCAAAATTTGTGGCCACCTTAACTCAGCTATTGCAGATAAAAGTTCACAAAATTTATCACTAAGGGCTACACACTGCCACACAAATTCTGCAAGATAAGAGTCCAATTGATGTCTCGCAGTTCCTCTATGCTTCTTATTCCACCATTTCACAGATCCCCACAGCCTTTCTATGGTTGCGTATGCGCTCCAGTTTCCGGATCTGTGAAGTTAAACTGATGGTTCACTTTCAAAATGATCAAAGCCACCTTTTTCTAATTCTCCAGTTTTGTAGCCACAACAGGACTCTGAAAATATCTTTGAGCCATCCTCCGTATGTGCAGTAATTTCTTGGAAAAGCATACTTGCTTTCCGATTGGACACTGCTATGAGAAGGCATTTCTTCGTTTCCCAGGAAATGCCACCAAACACCCATTGCTCGGGTAGTAATCAGCTACAATTACATTTCCGTTTTGAGAACAGACTTCAATTACCTTTTCCTCCGATCTTCTTCATCAGTCACTTCTGCAAGTATTGGAAGCAAATTTCCCTCATATAATTGTTCCATTCTACAGAACTTTCTGGGCTGAAATCCATCTGACATTATCACAACAACAGAGAAATAAGTTCCTCAGCCCAACAGTAATTAAAGTGTAAGGCTTCTGTAAATGGAATCCTCGATCCCCCACACCATTCTTAATATGAAAACTGACAATGTTACACTTCCAGTGGCACTTCTTAGTTACTTGTAACCACATTGCATGACTGTTTGGGCAAAAATGATTTTGTAGTAAAATGTTTTCATCTTAGAAGAAACATATAACATCTTCTTCCTGAGCAAATTCCAGATTTTCATCATTGTCGCAAAATAGCAGCAAAGCCTAAATAATGAATAAAATGGCACTAAATTTGAACAAACTGCTATTAATAAGTTGCCAATTTTTTAATATAAGCACCACCTGCATAACCAGAATCTGGCACTGTTTCTATGTGTGGCTGAACTTGGTTTCATGGTCCCTATAACTGATAAATAACAAAAAAAATCACAGTTTTTATTATTTTGTTTTGCTTATGGTATTGCTGTATCATTTTGTGGTGAATGTCGCAGAACTTAATCTTGAAATTGACGAGTACTCTGACTTGATATTGATTGAATCATTATATATATTATATGTTTTAAATTTAACAAACATTCTCTGTTCATAAAAAGCAAATTTAAAGTTAATTAAATTTTAAATAATGAAATTTAAAATTTAATTTAACTTAACTATTTATTATTTTGAAACAATTATATGTTTTAAAGTTAGTTAAAATGTAAATTTATTTTTGTATAAAAATGCAGGAAACAATAAAGCACAAATGTGCACATAAATCTTCATTATTTTAAGGTACATTTCTCTTATCTGTAGAAAAGAAAACAAGGAGATAAAGAGACACATCAGGCCGTGATACTGATTCTACTGCATATTAGGCAGTGATACTGATTTAGTTCTTAAAAAGACAAAAAATGTAATAAGCAATTAAATTTTGTATGTTTGCTGAAAAGAAAAAAAGTAAAAGAATGAATTACAATATCAGAAATAAAATGCTAAAAAAATTTACTGAATTTAATTGTAGATTCATTTTGAAGCAGCTCAAAAATTAAATTACTTTAGTTTAATAGAAGTCATTATATATTAGATTCTATCTGTTTTGTTCTGAATTTTTTGCAAACAAAGAATTACAAATTAATGTTTTTGGTAGTTTTCATTAGCATATATATCATCACATTTCCATTATGTGTGTGTTTTTTTTAATAGCATTACATCTTTTCCTAATTATATTTTTCTGCCTACTACTTCTAGTGGTAATTAAAATTGTTTTTATAGGGATCATGTTCCATCTGAACTGCAATTACTTTCTTTGTCCTTTCTGGTGCTAATTTTATTTTATTTATTTTTTTTTACAAATATATTTATATCTATTATATATTACAAATATATACAAATTATTGTAACTTGCGAGCATTGGTGGTCATTTTGAAATAAAAATTTTATTATGTAAAATGAAAAAAGATTGTTCCAGGTGCATTAATTAGTTTATTATCTTATTTATATGTTATATATAGCTGTTCTTTGTTTTATGTGATTAATAAATTCTTCTCATACATATATACATATTATTTTCATATACCAGAATCACATTAAATAAATAAAAGAATTAGTATACAAAATCAAATGTATGTTAGATTAAGGGGTCATTTGTGTGTCCATGCCTGAATTTTCAGTATTATTTGAGAAGTCAAACTTTAATCTTAAATTTCAAATGAACTTACGTTGTGCCATTTTGATTTTATATTTCTCTTTTGAACAGCTGTTTTTTATATGAAATGTTAGTCTGTTCTTCCCATTTCTTTTTTATCTGCCGCCCACCAGCGGCCGAGCGGTAAAGTCGCTGAACACTGGTAGTTCGGTCCGTGGTTCGAATCCCGCGAACGGGCTGGCTGCATGGGTGTTTTCGTGGTTTTCCCCATGTGTAACGTGTATACGAGCCAGTTTCCCTTTGAAAGTCCTCCACGAAGGCATCCCTCCCCTTAGGCAGATAGCCCTAGTGTGCTTTGCCATAATTAAATACACCACCACTTTTTTATCTGCCCGCCGCCCCCCCAAAAAATATTTTTGCAGTCTCTGATCTTTTTTTGATATACTGATACCTAATTGTATACGTAATACCTTTTATTGTGTATTTGTACACAATTTTTCCATTCCAATACTTCATGAGTGCTATGAATTCATATTCACAATATTATGTTATTTGGCAAGCCAAATGATTTATACCACCCACTTATTGAAGCGTGGGCTTTCTTTCAATCATTACGTTTTCTCATTCAAATTTTCTAGTAATTTAAGATATAATGTTGAGATTGAGATTTTTAATTCCCTTATAGTATTACTATTTTTCAAAATTTTTTATATGCATTGTTGGAAATATATTTACCTAAACTGGTTAAGTTTAGGGGTTAAGATAACTTAAACTGGATTGGGGGGGGGAAGAGATTTCAAATTTATATCTAATGCAATACAGATGTCCTCAATAATGAATAGAAAGTACTACATAATAGTGTGATAAGAAGACTAGTTTTTGTGAACCATTTTTCAACTCACACTAGTTAAATGTTTTTACTGCATAAGAGAACAGAGACAGTGTTTGATCATATTAATTTAAATTTACTTTTATCAAAATCATATAAAGTATAGCTATATATAGTGTCAGGTGATAATTATTATTTAGATAAATAAAAAAAAATTAAAGAGGATGATGAGCAACAGAAGGAATATCTTCTCCAGTGCCTGTTTGAAATTTTTAAAGTGATTGCCTCTAGAGGCAATGATATGTTGAAGATATATCATATAATTTTTTATGGTGCTTAGTAAATTGCTGCTGTGGAGAATATCAAAAGCTTTAAGAGTGTCTGTTTTGAGATATTCAACTGATTTTAAGTCTTTGTGAAAGACCTTATTTTTTCATACAGGCTCGCAGAAAATAATCAAGCAGACATGCATTTGAGAAGTATGGAGGTTAGTGTATGCTGTCAAGATAGTGATATAGATAATCTCAGACTATGACTGTTGTTCTGAATTTAGAACAGATAGTATCTAAAACAGCTCACATTATGTAAAAGGGCGTTTCATTCTGTTCAAAATCAATGGTCTCCGATTCATACCTAACACTTGAATCTGAAAACGTCCTTTTTGTGAAAAATCCTATCTCAAATAACAGTCACAATGTCTTTGTTAAAATAGAGATTGTGATTTGATCACACAAAAACAGTCCAAACTGTGACCTTTTTGAGAAATATTATGTATTTTCAATCTGTTACTGCTTTGGAAGCAATAACTTCCAAAATTTCATCAGTTAATGGGCTTTCATTTGAAACAGACACTTGAGAAGTTCTATCTGTTTATTTGTTACTGCCCTGTTTATGTAAACATTTTTGTTTGTCTAAAATATAATCAGCTTGTATTATCATAGTAGATGCTTAGTAATTTGCTAAGATTTGGAAATATTAATGATGAGTGAGAAAAGTAATAATAAATCAAATTGTAGATTTCTGATTCTAGCCAAAAGATTTGAGTGAGATTTAAACAAATTAAAATGAGAATTCAAATTTCTCATTTTTCTGCTAAAAACTGTGATTTATTAATATTATAGAACCATAACTTATTCTGTAAATAATGAAATAATACAGAAGTATGTAAAATGTAATGAATAGTTTCTTTTGCATAAAATGGAGTTTTATTGTCTTTGAGTTATTAAAATTGTTATAAAACTTGCAAGGTTTTGTGCTGACTTCTGTTTTGGGAAGAATTCTTTAGAAATAAACAGATTCGTTTTAAGTAGGCATTCACATCAAGCAAAAAGCCTTGATATGAAAATGGTACATTTAAAGAACCAATGTCATAATCTTGAAGCATTACTCATTCACCAAATATGAGTTATCCTGTCTTGATGAAGGAAGATGATATCAAATTTTCTTTTAAAATGCAATAAAATTAGTAATTTATTTAAAAAAATTTCAGTGCTTCTGTTATATTCAAAATTTTCGTTTCATTGTTTTAGATTTTGGTATAGATTTATTCAGTTTTCAATTTTTAACTTATTTCATGACTTTTTCCCCCTTTTGTTATGTACTACCCTTTTTTATGTTATAAAGATGTTAATCATTATTCTCCAATATTTTGTTTTTAAAAATAACTTATTATATTGACTAAAATGATTAGTATCATATTTAATTACACTTTAAACAAAAAGGTAAATCTATGGTATTCTGTTTATTATAAAATTAGATAATTTTGCTTTTCATTTTCTGCATAAAGATTTCAAAAGATCATAGGCTACCTAAATTTTCATAATTCTATTAAAAAGTATTTAATCCATCTAAAAAAATATTTTGGATTTTAAAATATGAAATTTCAACTACTTTTCTAACTATTCAATGGAAATATAATACAATTCCTAGCATTATAAAGCTACATACTATAAAAAATAAATTCTGAGATAAAGGGCATAAAAACATTTGACAGTGATAATTAGAATAGAATCAATTAAAATTGATAAATTTTTGAAGGGACATAGATACTTAGAAATTTGACTGTATGATGAACATAAGAATAAAAAAATGACTTCTGTAATATTTACTAATGAAATTAATTATTACACTTCATAAAAAATTATATATATTAGCCATTCCAAAAGGAATAGTAAGAAAATAAAGTAGTACTCTTATTAATAAAAATGAAAAAAATGTTTTATGTAAATTTTATGAAGGGAAAAGATACCGTAATTGTTGACATGTGTAAAGAAAAGCTGTATCTGCAAAAATTAAATTGATTTACCCTTAAATTATAGATTCAGACCAACTATCACCATATGAAATTAAGTGATCATCAATTTTTTTATGCAGTTGAATATTGCAGCATCATATGGATCTCTTTCCACATATGAGTGAATTACTTGAAGCTTCGACTTATCAGTTTTTCAAATCAAAGAATTGAAATACCTTTTTTCTTTGTGATTTTACAAAAAATCTGAATTTTTTTTGCCTCTAAAGATTAAAAATCTGGATCATCAATTAAGAATAAATAATGAATCTAGCTATACAGTAAACACAGCTAAAATTATTAATTATTAATTAATGCCAAAAAATACAGTTACTGTATTTTCACCTTCCAGATTACATCATTCATCTGTCACCTTTTCCAGATATCCTGCTTTATTTCATTGCAGCAAAATTCAAATTTAATATTGCACTTCAATGTTGTAGATCTCCAGCAAACACAACCAAACATAATTACATGAAACTTCAAATGTGGTACTGCTTGAAGGTTGTAAATTAATTTTCAAAGATAATTTGAAGCCAGCAGACAGTAGACATTACAAAAATATTTGTAGCTTGCATTTTGCTTTTGATAAATTTCATAGTGGCAGGTTTATGATTTCTGAATGCCAGTATTAACAATATTAGCTATAATTTATTTCTAAACTAAAAATGAATTACTCAGTATATTGATTTATTTTACCCTAGTTCCTTTAAACGTAAAGATTTAATTTATTCAAAACTAAATGTAATCATATCCCAGTATGGTAATTGTCTTGAGGGACTGATGGAAATTATTGGTTAACATATCTTCAACCTTGTAAGCACCATAATTTTTAAATGAAATTATTTCATTTACGCAGCAATCATTTTCATTATCCCCCCTATAATATTCAGATGATTTTTGGTAATTAGAGAAAGTAAGATCTTGAACATACTATAGTCTGTTACTGTAAAAAAAGCACTTCATGGAACTTCTAAATGTGAATGCAAGAAAATTTCTCAAAAAGTGCCAACTAAAAAGGACTTTTTGAAAAATTTGCCATTGAAAACTCATGCTGCCTACTTAAAAAACACCAAAAGATCAGAACTTATAATCTTAGAATTATTAATAGTTTTTCCAGGCATCGGTTTTAAGCCTATGTTGTTCCTTCATATAAATACTATAAAATATATTTAATGCTTAACAATGATTATTTATAATTTTGTTTATTTGTACCAAAAAGGTTTGTTCTCTGGATTCACGCATCTGCAACCAAGTGGTAAAGTCACTGAACACTTTTATTTCAACTTGGATTCAAGTCGAGGTGAATAGGTTAGTTGTTTGGCATTTTTGTGGTATTTCATGTTGTAATCAGGGTATGAACCAGTTTTCCTTAGCCCAATTAAATAAACCAACCCTCTGATCTGTTTTTCCTGGTGCAAGGGTGATGTCTTAATGAAGTTTGACTGTACACAATGGTTCTCTAGTTTCAAAGTCTACCAAAGAAGATTTTGTGCCATTGATTAAAAAAAGTGTATTTTCCACATGTCCTTTTCACCTTCTGAAAACTTTCAGTTGTATTTCCCTCAAATTTCGCATAAACTATCATTAGACAACAGTGCTCAAAGTACTGGTGCTGTATTATCACAAGATACATGACACTTGTGTCTAGAAAATCATTTTGAAGGTCAGAGTTGGTCCCAGATTTTTTTGCATATCTAATGAAAAATAAAGGTGCAGGGTTGCCAGCTTCTGCCTAATCCAAACAATCTTTAGTTTTCTGCAGCACTAGAAGCCTAGCATTGTTTTAAATAGTTATCTAAGTATTGATTTTTAAGTGAAGTCATATGTATATTATATATATTATTTAAATATTAAAGTACACATAGGTTATTTAATATTTTCAGGGTTAAATTTGCAGTAAACTGATACAGGATATTCCACAAAGATTCATTATTTAGAGTAATGGATTTAAGGTTCATAAATCTGTGGCCCATAGTTTTTAAGAAAAATGTGAAAGAGAAGGTGTGATGGCTGATTTCATATTCAGAAAATAAGCTTTATTGGAAAAAAAAAAATAATGGTATATGCATATGACATTTTTAGGAGAAAATGTTAAAAATTACTATTGAGCATATCAAGCAGGTTATGATCCAGCTGCTTAAACCACTTGCGCTAAAAAGATGTGCCACGCACGTCAAGATGCTTTTGTCTCAAACCGCGAGTGACGTGAACACCACGTCGATAGGCATTTATTGCAAAAATGAAAATAACGTGGTGCACACGTAGCCTAACAACGAGATTGTTTATTTCTCAAGTTACAGCTCTGGATTGCACTCGCAGACGCGGAGCGGTGTAAATGAGACACTTTACTGCTTGTTATATTGTATCGCACAGCACTGCAACCGTGAAGTTTAGTCATAGCGCAAGTGTTTAATATCCACAGAAGTAGTGCAGCATACAGATGTGTCTCTTTTTATAGTATGTGGAGTCTGATACACTAGTTCCTTTAGTTAGCCCCACAGAAAAAAAATTTGGTCTAGTGATCATGGTGGTAACATGCCAGTACATCGCTGAGCTTAAGGATCACAGAGGTTTAGTGGTTTGGTCATTTTTATGAACTCAGAGTAAGAAGAATAAAGTTTGTGGTCTTGATGGGATATCCTGTAAAAAAGCTTATTCTAATAGAACTGACTCACCAGCAGTGGAGAGGTAAAGTTGCTGAACACTGGTATTTTGAACAGGGTTTGATCTATGGCAAATGGTCTGGCTAGATAGGAATTTTTTGAGCTTTGTTCCATGTGTAGATATGAGCCAGTTTCCCCTAGAAGTCCTCTATGAAAGCATCCCTCCACTTAGACAATAGCCCTTGCATACTTTGCCACAGTCAAATAAACCAAATCAAACCTAATGGAACTGTTCATTGGAAATACTTTAATCCTTTCAAAACTTTTGAAATTCGCACACTATGATTCTCATTTTTCTGTTCTGTTTGATGAAGGCCTAATTTTTATTTTGTTACATACATATGCTAAAAATTATAAGTATATAAGAATTGGTTACTGCATTTTATGCTCAATCAAATGCAGATGAAATTGTAGTTTGTATATAAGAAAAACACAATACACAAATAAACACAATAATGGGGAATAAAACAGATTTTATTGCATTTACAGCAACACAACATACAGAACATAGTCTGCTTCATTTATTAGATTTCAAAACTCATTTTTTCTCTTGAAAAAGTTTCGATCTACGTACATAGTTGCACACTGTGCAACTTATTTGCAGTTCATTAAAGTAGAACAGAAAGCAAAAATTTATATTCTCTTCCAAAATGATCAAATAATTGCTATACTTAAAAATTCATACCAGATGGATAATCTCGCACAAACGTACAAAGCCGCCTTTTCACAGTCTTCAATATCTAATATATTTAATATTTGCATATAATTATTAATAGGTAAGCATTTGTCTCACTTTCTCATATTCTGGTTCAATTCAAATATGAAAATTGCAGTGAACCTGAATTATTGCAATTAAGACTAATTATACAGAATATTCTAGTTCCTATTTAATTTGATAGATGTTATACATAAATAAAGCAATTTAATGAACTAGAATCAAAAAGTAAACTGTCTACATGTATATGAAATTAAAAAACAGAAAAATTAATTTAATAAAATTATTTCAATCTTCAAAGGCTATCCCATATAGCATACGATGCAATTACTCATTTCATATTTACAGTATATTCTAATTCAAAAACATAAAATGCAAATAAAAGGCTTCAGAAGTACAAGTATCATCTGCAATAAATTGAGAACTATGATACAAATGCTCTGCAGAACGGCTTTGGGCATCAAAAACATAAAATGTGTCATTCCTATCTCCTATACAAATGTTATACAGTGTAATGCATAGCTGCATCATATGCAGTAAAATATCACTTGATTAATAAAAGGTGTTACTTGTATTTGCAAACTCCCACCACCATAATCAATACTTATTACTGAGTTCAACAACAACATTTTACTCTAAAAAGAGAAACATATGGAATGTACTGAATGTAACAAAACAGATATACATACGTAAAATATTAGTACTCGCAAATCTAAACTTATAATGCAATTGGTGGGTGGTTCTAGATTTAGGTATACTTGGAGGCACTCTGTAATGGTCGACTCTATACTATTACAAGAGTTGATGACTGCCAACAATTTTCTAAAATAATGCTATGGCACATTAACTGAAAACAAAATATTTCTACATATATTCTGAAAATTCACAGACAACTATTACAGAATGCCGAAAGGAACGGAATTTATTTTTACAATTCTGATCACAAACAGCAGTTTTCACAAGAAATAAGAGGAAAGCCATCAGTGGCACAAACTGTACAAATGTCCAACTGCTAAAATAAGTACACTTAGACACCCAGCCAGTAATAATTGACATCACAAATAAGTCTCTCGCTACACCCTAAGACAGTTTTAGGATACTACAACAAGCATGCTTTAAAGATACGACACATATATGTTAAATACAGACAAAGAAAAAAATGTTTCAAAATTCCGATATGTGTTTCCGATTTATCGTGACCTACAATGATGTGCGAAGGAGAAAGATAATTCTAATATTAAGGATTTGGCCAAATGTTTAACCTTTACTGCCTGGATAATGAATTCATTTTCAATTCAGGGTTTGTATTTATAAAAGAAAAATTTGTTTATCTCACTTCATACTGACTCATGAGAATAAATGCTAAGAGTCAAAATGGAAAAGTAGACATGCTCATAAAACAGACAACATTTATCAACATTCCATTTCATATAGTTTGAAATTTCCTTATTCTAAATTCTTTAAATAACTTTACATAAAAAAGCAATTTAAACAAAATTTAACTCCATCATACCATGGTTTGTAATAAACACAAACCCTGAAAATGCAATTCTAAGAAAATATTGCACCCTATTTGAAGCTGTGCGAGTAGTTATCGTTCAATGATTATGAATTGTTTATTTAATTGCTAAGGATTTATGTATCGTTTAAGAAGCAGCTTTCTTTCTTTTTTCTTTTTCTTTTTTTTTTTGGGTAATGAACAGATGGTGTAATAAATGTACTAAAATATCAGATAGTTACACTGTGCTTAATGACATTTTGTGCAGATAACATTGCATAAATTCCACACTTTAAAGGTTAAGCATTTGTACATATCAGTATACAAGGATTCACATGGCATTAGCATTTCAAAAGCAGAGATATAGAAAATGGTTGAATAATGATGCCACTGTGAAATACTCAAAAATAAAGTGGGAACTACATTGTTTGAATATAACCTGAAAAAGGGAATTATGCAGGAACTCAAATTTACCACTCTTATGGCACTAAATATGACACTGATAAGTATATAAATTGATGGCCTAATAATGATGATCCCTTCTCTCACTGAGAAATTATATTGCAAGGAAAACTGCACTATGTAATTTACAGAAAAAGAAGACAAATGTTTTACGGCAGACTACCGAATGACAACCATCCGCCGGCAATGTTCATACAAGTGTATCCGCATACAGTTTCTAAAGTAGCTGGTGTCCCTTTATATTTTCTTCAATATTTTAATCTTCAGAGTAAATTTTTTTCTTCTGGCAATTTAAAGTGCGTGCCAAACTGCTAGCTCCGGAATGTATGTATGTGGATACGTCAAAGTAAGTTTTAACGACGCTCAAAAATTAAGAGTTGAGTCGTCCCATTCCAGTTCCTTAGTTTTTGCTTTTCCAGCTCCTTCCTCCTCTTCTTCGGAGGATTCACCATCATCTCGATAGCTGCTTCCATCGTCTGAGCTCTCACTGTCGTCGTCTTCATTGAGAGGCCTGGGGCCTTGCTCTTGCTCTATTTGCTAAAACAAGGAATGAATAAAAATCTTTCAATAGGCAGTCATGCTGTATGAAATTTCTGATAATACATGAGTATGCAGTTAAAATTTAAAAGACTTTTAATAAAGTTTATGTGAAATAAAATATACAGATGATGTTTAAACCAATACATGTATGAAAGTGGAAAAGCTTAAATTAGGATGTACCTAAAAATCAGAAAGTTTAAATAAGGCACTAAGCCAATGTGACACAATTTAAAAGTACAGAATATTAAATAGATAAGATAGTTAACACTAGACAAAAAGAAAAATATCAGACGAAAAGAAAAACATAATTAAACCAGACAGTGCATAAAAGTTGGGAAATTTAAATTAAGAGGTATATAAAGTTTAAATAATTAGATAAAAATGAATTTTACATCAAGGAATTCATAACAATGAGAGAATTTAAACCATTGAATATATACAGTCTACCAAAAAAATTCTATTTATTTGGAAAGCAAAAAAAATTAATACATTTTCCAAACCTTTAAGAATATTTATTGTAAAATATAATTTTTGTCATTACTTATGACTTCCTGCCAGCATGATAGTAATTTGTAAATGCCATTTTTGATAAATGTCTTAATCTCAGAGACTCAAGTAGTGCTTGACTGATATCTGCATCATCCCCCCCCTCTTCAAAAATTTTTGCAAGGAGAGAAAAAGTGCTAATTGGAGAGTACTATATCTGGGAAGTATAGTGGATATGGCAGAATTTCCTAACCTAGCACTGCAATTTTCTGAACAGACATCAAACCAGCGTGTGGTCTGGCATTATCATGATGGAATATGATACACCTCCTATTGAATATCGTCAGCCTCTTTTCTTTGATTGCTTTATTTAAATCATCCATTTGCTGATTCTCTGAATTAGGTGTTTTGTTCGTAGGTTTCAAAAGCTTGCAATGTATTGGCCCTTCAAGGTCCCACTAAATGCACAGCATTCTTTTATCCATGCTCAAGTTCCGTTAAGAGGTAGAGACCGCAGGTTGTCCAGGCTCACGGTATGCTATTTTTCTAATGATGCAGTCATAGGTAATCCACTTTTCACCACCAGTTATTATCTGGTCTAAGAAGATTTCGCGTTTTTGTTCCAGGCTAGCAGAACTTAACTCATGAGGCACCTATTTGGAATATTTATAGATGAATCCTAGTTTTACAAATATGGTCCAAAATGATTTCCTGAACTGAGTTGAGGTTTCCCGCAATCTCTGATGTTGTCAAAAAAAGGCACTATCATGGTTTTGAAAATATCATCATAGATCAAAGATAGCTGCAGAGCATGGGCATATCATTAAGGTCGAAATCACTTGCTTCATATTTTTCAAACCATCTCCTGCACATTCTATCTGAAACTGGTCTTTTTCAAAACTTTCACTAAATTTCAACACACATTTCTTCTTTGTTGGAATTTGTATGAAATATAGTATCATAAATGATCATTATAGATAGTCATATTTACGTGACCATGTCTTAACAAAGATATGAGATACTTTTGTTTCAGTTAATTTGGAGAAGCACGCCTATAAATGCAATTATAAAGACAGACAGTCATACATGTCTCAAATGAACTTGTGCATGCATGTTGACACTTGAAATAGCATTATCAAACAGAATGATAGAACGAACATTATTCAGTAGACCTTATATAAAATTGGAGAAATTAGGTAATATAGAAACAAGGAGAAGTTTAAACCAGATAATGTATAAGAATTTAAACCAAGCACAGCATAATTAAGTTTAAAACAGGAACTATATTTGAGATGGAGAATTTTAAATTAAACAACACACACTAATACGAGGAAGTTTAATCCATGCAATGCATGAAACTAAAATTTTAACAACCCACAAACATGAACTTTATACCACAAAACATACAAATGGGATAGATCTAAGCAGTTAAAAAAATTCAGAAAAACTTGGTTGGACACTAAGTATGCAAGTTATTCTCATACATCATAGAAGAGCATTCCTTAACTAAAGATTAACTACATCAACAGAGTAGTTCTACACTTGGTGAAAAGTGACTCAAAAGCACAAAAGTACTAGAAGTATATCTACAATATAACAAATTCACTAAATTGTTTCAAAAGAATATAGTAAAGTTAAATTAAATTTAAATAATTATCTTGTGCCATTGCTGCAAGGAATGAAATTTGAATTTAACAAATATTCTCTATTAGTAAAAAGCAAACTTAAAGTTAATTAAATTTTAAATGAAATTGAATTACAAATAAATGATTAATTATTGCTGTGAACTAATCTACAATATCATTTAAATTCTGAGAGCATATGTAAATCAAGTGCAAGTATAAAAAATCTATGAATAAATATATAATTCCAATAAATTTTTTAATCTTAAAAATTTATCAAAATGCATAAGTGAATAATTGTTGAGCAGGCAGGAGACAGACTTATCAAGGTGAAGTTACCTCCAGATATTTTAGCAGAAAAACTTTGTTTATTAGAAATCCCTTAAAGAACTATTTATAAATAGTAGTAAAATTTATATATTTTTTTAATTTTATAAAATTTCCTTTATTAAATTATGCTATGGTCTTAACACAGGGTCCATTACTAAACTTTTGTTTTAATTGACTCACCTGCCAGCTAATTTGTTGTAGGAACCTCCAAAAAAAAAAAAAAAAGTTTCTGGCATAACTTAATTTTAATTTTTAGAATTTTGTATCAATAAATTATTGTTAATTCCCTGCCTAATTTACAGCTTAATTATTTCAAACATGAAAACTATAAATATATGTAGGTTCTAGCATAATTTAATTTTAAGCTTCAGAATTTTGAATCAATAAATTATTGTTAACAATAACCTGCCTAAATCAGAGCTTAACTATTTCAAAGATGAATACTATAAATTTATATTTAGTATAAAGTATCAAATCTAAACATTAATAGAATAAGTTTGTGAATAAAACATGGTAACATTTTTCGGTATGCGTCATACATGTTTAGGTGCATTATCAGGCTAAAACAGAAATTATTGCTAGGTGAAGCATTTTTAATGAACTTACATCCATTGGATTAACTATGATTGTGAGAGAAGAATCATCCCAGGCCATTTCTTGGTCATCATCTCGGGATTCTCGAGACCTGTGGTGTGCTGCACGAATTCGAATGACTCCAAGAACTATCATGAAAACAAGGAACCCGACGCATACTACAATTATGATGGCAACTGCATGACCTAAAGTAAAAGAGAAAAAAAATTAAAATATAGTGAGAATAAATGTACAATGCTCCCCTTTCTAAAAACTCTTTTGAATCAGAAATATGCAAAATTTTTTATATGCTATTACAGTCAATGCTTTGTTTCTGTATGTCATGAGGGACTATTATAATAAGCATCAACTGTCTATAAAATATATATTTTAATTAGCAAATATATTCAGAACTCAGATGATCTGGATCACTTAGTGTTATAAGGGGGGAAAAAATTGTTTTTCTAGTGTTTCAGCTAATTAAATTAATATTAAAGATATGCATGGTACTCTCTTTTAACAAACTATTAAATGAATTCAGATGAATCATGCATAATATATGATCTGGCTTTATTATGTTCATGTGTAAAAAAAAATTTCATGAATTATTATAATGATAGTAGCCCATGGTACCCAAGTGGATAAGGCTGGTGAACACACCAATAGTTTAAACGCTTGTAGATGGACTTGCTGCATCAATGTTTTTTTTAAATTATTTTTATGTGTAGTGTAAATATGAGTCAGTTTTCCTTCAAGTCCTCTACAAAGGCATCTTTCTCCTTAGGCAGATAGCTTTCATACTCTCTGATGTAAATGAAGAACTAAATTTATGTCTTTCTGTATCAAATGCTGGGTGAATATTTTTAAACCTTTTAATAAAGTGTTTTTTCTGTTGGGATGTATAAACCTGATGTTAAAAAAAGGGGGGGGGCAAGTTTTAAACAAAGGACATTATTTGTTTACATGACAATAATTAAAAGTGAATCTATAATACAGACAAGTACTGCTGGAAATCATGCAAAGAAACATACTGCTGGAAATCATATAAAGATTATGATCAGAATTTCTTGCACTGGCTGTAAAACATTATCAATGATTTTATTACAGTCATTTGATAGTGATCATTCAAATTTTTAACGCAGTTCCCAATTCTGAAACAACTGTTCCCCTATTAAAAAAATACAGTAAGGGCTTGACTATCCAAAAAGCTCAAATGCTCGATACATAAAAATTCCAGATAGTTGAGTGCTTAAAATTACATTTCATGCTAACAAAGACAAATAAGGAAAAGAAATTTCCAGTCTAAAATTATATAAACAATCATCTTATTGGTTATGACTTGAATATTAAAAGCTTACATTTAAAATTAGACATAAAAGCTAATAATTCATATGCCTTACACATATGAAAGCAAAACCTATTATGAAATCTTGCTGATGATGAGAACTGGTACAGGTGCCCACAAACTTGTACCTATCATTCCAGTCGAAGTTTAAAGGAACAGTTTTTTTTATTTGGTTATATAATCAACAAATACAAGTATGGATAGAGTTCATAAAAAACTTGAAATTGCCTATCATAATTTCTTATGTTTCATCAATGTCTCTCTGCTTTGGAATAAAGTCATATATCTATTGTATGCATAGCCAAGTAATGCACACTTTTCTTGATGCGAGGATTCAGTAATTTAGAGAATACTCTGCTGCATATTGTTCTGCAGCAGATAGGTCCCAAATTTCAATCATTTTTCCAAAATGCAAAGGAAAAACAGATAAATAGCAGTTAACTTTACTCTTCTTTTACGAAAACAGAACAAGCTTATTAACAACTAATCAGATTTACATACAACCATGGCAAAGATCTTTAAGTTATCACATCATGCTTATTCACGGCATGCACTAAATCACATAGTTTGGTAACAGTATTCTATATATGCTTTACAAGCCTTTCACTTAATTTTTCAGGGGACAATTTTTTCTGTTATTCAAGTTATTTGAACTTTGGGTTAGTTCAATGGTCAAGCTTTTATTGTTATTATTTTGGTTTAGCATTTACTGGATTCTAAATCTACAGTATTCAACAAAATAAATAAAAATGGCTTCAATAAAAAATGAATGTGGATATAAGTTGTACACATTCATCAAGTTAAATTTCAAAACAAGTTCTTAATTACAAAATTTTACAATTCTGCAGTCTTACTGATTGTGAATTTCAGATATTGGCAGACTTCTGGTATTTTATTTACAATACATGCTATCTTAATCCACAGTCTTCTCTCCACATGCACACGGAATGCACATGGATATTTCAGAATATACATGTATATATTACGTTCATAGGCAATAGGTAAATTACTTTCAATATATGAATAAATATTTCATACATGCTTCTTGACACTTGCCTAGAAATAATACTAGTACTATTCTAAGTAACTGCATTTAAAAACTGTTCTATAAACATTCTATTTTAAAATAACATGTTTGCTATGCATGCACACAAACACACACACTTATATAAATCTGCGTGTATATTTAAATTATACTATTATGAAACCGTCTCAGGATGATTTTACAGAAATTTAATTTAATGTCTGAGATAAGATAAATGCAATTATGTGTTGATATAAAACTACATCAAAATTAAACTTTTTTAATTTGCAAATTTTTCTGAGCAAAATACTGTCTTTCTCCCAGAAGTTCCAAAACTCAGTTTCAAATTCTTAACCTATGGTTATTGATATGTGTTACAAATATGTATGATCTTGGAAGTAGTTCAGTACAAACCTATCATGCAACATTGCAGTGCATAACCAAGTGATATAAAGTGTTGCAGAGAGTAAGCATTATTTTGTATTAAGCTAAAGAAAAAAAATTTGAGAAATGTAAATGTATGATATACCACTACTTTTTTTTTTTTTTTTTCTGGTATGAAAATGTTGCTGAAAGTAAAGTGATGAAAATTTTACAGAAATCCAAAAAGCTATGAAGAAGAAAATAGCTTTCCCCGCTTGCTTCTGAGACCTCCAGAAATATTAGCAGCCATGTGCAAGTAGCAGAGCAGACTTACTTGGATATGACCAACAACTATTAGTTAGTAACTGAATTTATTATTTTTTACATCAGTCTTGTAATTTTCATGATAAGGGGAATATGGACTAGTTAAATGAATAAGTGAATGTATTTTTTATATGTTTAAATATACATAAGAATACACTTTTCTAGTTATCATATTTACAAAAATTTAAGGTTCATCATTTTTTTCAATGAAATATACATACTAGCAGATGTCTTTGCTATTGCTTCACTGCCCAGGCCATTATCCATGAAACCTGCAGCTCGAACTTTAGCTTCCTTAAATTCTACTTTGTGGTCGTGCACTTGTGCATGATTGACAGGTTCTGCAGCTGGCTTAGGATCTGCCTCATGTCCAGGTTCTGCTCTTGGGTGAATGACTGTCAGCTACAAGAAATTTTAGTTTACTAGTAAAAAAAAAAACATTTATGAAAAAGATTAAAGTTTTTAAATGCAAACTAAAATACAGAAACCTTAAAAATAGCATGGAATCCTTATAAAGGATTTCCACAAGAAGTCAAACGAATTAATTAATTATTGCAATGAATACAAATGCTGCTTGCTTGAAGGAAGGGAAATTCTCATTTACAGTTTTTCAAAGGACTGGACAGTTACAATAACAACGATAAAACATACTTTAACATACATGTATGTTAAAGTATGTATTTACATACATGTATTTATGTTACAATATAATTTTACATCAGTTTTTTTCATTTTTTAGGTTGTAAGGATCTTAAGTTTTACTAACGTTTATTTTATTTTAAATCTTTACTATCACTTCTTATTTTCTACTTCCGGCCAGAATTATAAGCGTGAAGGTTTTTATGCAAAGTTTGTCTGGCGAACGCCAAGTATTTAAGTGTGGCCTTTTTGCCAAGCGAAAGAGAGGAAGCAGTGAGTTCGAAGCAGGCCGCTTACCTTAGAAGTTACGCAGTTGCTATTTGCCTTCCAGGCCAGAGGTTTTAATCCTCTTGATAAATTAAACGTATTGTAGTGTTCACAGTCTCTGTGCTCCATACGCTTCCTGTTATTATAAGGCCAATCTTCCACGTGTATTATTCTAAAGTTAAATTAGAGTTTAGTTTTATTTTTTTACTTTTACGTTAGACCCCGAGTGGCGGGTCATTGTATTCCGAAGTACGGAAGTTATTGTATATAGAGAAAAATAAAGAGTTTTGTATACCCTTCGTCTGTATCCTGTCTACTTACTACAATTAGTGAACATAGCTTTAGTAAGCTCTCTGTTCCTAGTCAGGTCCTTGTATGTTCCCGAAGAAGGTTAGAAGGAATATTGAACCTGATAATGTTAGTAATTATTTTACTTTTATTTGTTACCCAAACATGTACTAATACTTGAACAAAAAACATGCAATCAAAAGCTACAAGGAACAATTTATAAAATACTTTATCAGTCTTTAGATACCTATTTAAAAGCTCAAATTTTTATGTATAGACATATTCTACCTTCTTGTAAAGTCTTATATTTTACTTCTTATAGATTTATTTTACTGATTAAGTTATTTGAAATTTGGAATTACTAAAATTTCATTTTTTACACTGCTTGAAATAATATCATAACAATTTTCATTCTGAATGTGTCTACCAGTTTTAATCTAAATACACCAAAAACCAGTTTATCAAAGGAAAAAAAACTGAGTTTTATGATTTAACAAGGGATCTTAAACTTGTGGCTCCAAAGCAATTTTACACGGTCCCTAAATACATTTAAATTATGTATTTGTTGTAAATACGGTGCTTGTAGTTTTATAAAGCCACAGATATACAGAATGAGCACACGACTGCTGTTGAATGGAAAAAAGACAGAACAACAAGGTTCAGACTTTCTCTTTGCCACTCTATCTTTGTATACCAGGTTACATGACTAGGATACAGCAGGAAAGGTTCCTATGTTAATTCCATCAGTAAATTTAAGTGGCCAGCTGATGAGTTTTTAGTATTCTGGTGGTTCCATTTTTTTCTATAAAGTAGGTGCTTCTGTTGTATACATTTTTTGAGTCAATCAATAATTGGTTGGCTAGTTGCACAGTTCGCATTGCTCTCTCTCTCTTGAGAAAGAGACAACTAACATACAACTTATTAATCCTGTTTATTGGTGTTTTTTTTTTTTTTTTTTTATTAGACCCACCTTGTAAAGATCTAGGTTTAGAATTGTGCACTTTTGAATGAATTAAAAATGTAGCCAGCAGAAATTTCTTGAAAATACCAACCAACTTTCAGATGGAAAATAAATATTATAAGGCATTTCTCCCGCCTTTTTAGCATGCCTTCGTAGTGTGGTGGTTTGCATGCTGGGTGCATATTCCAGAGGTCCGTGGTTCGATTCCCGGCGAAGGCATTGCTCATTTTTTCAAGCATATTGATGATGCTCATTTCTCCCTCTTCCAAAAAATACCTAATGTCTCTACAAATATTTAACAAGTAAAATTTAAAATGTGGTTATTTCTTTTTTTCTTTTTTTTCGTTTTTTTGTTTTTGTATCTTTAAAAAAAAACCTGCCCTTTTAGATGCTCCTGCATTTAGCCAGCATGGAATTTGAGTTTAAGATTATTGATTTAATCTACGGGGGGATGCCACATAAGCACCAAATTATTACTTAAAAAAATAACAAACTAAATCAAAACAATAGTTATGCACTATTAGTTTTAGCTGGGTAGAAATAGGCATCTTTAAATTGATAAATTTGAAGAACAAATTTGCTTTTGGAATATCAAAATGAGCTGACCTGAAATAGTTTTTAGAAATGTTAAGAATGCTACATTTCATCTCTCAGTCAAAATTATAGACAATAATTAATTGCAGTCATAATCATTGGAAACAGGGCTTCAATAATAGATTAAATTACCCCCATAACAAATAGGAAAAAAATATTACTGTAACAATGATAAAGATATTTAAAAATTAATTAATAAATAAAAAGTGTATATTTCAACATGCCATTTTTAAAAATCAGTCACCAACTAAATAATATCTGTTTAAACAATATATTTTGAAATGTCCAACACTAAATTATCACAATTAACAAAGTAATTTAGGGGTGTAAAATAGCAGGCCTCCACGTGGAGCACCCTGAGTAATGCTAAATCTGCTACTGTGACTGCCGCTCTCTACAAGGTCTTCTTTTGTGATGCATTTGAACTTTAGTGCCAATCGTTTTTCTACGGATTTGCAACAACTGAGAGTTCTCCAGTAGAATGCTGGTGGTATTTTTCACGAAAAAAGAGCTCAATTGCTGACTAAAAGACTAGACAACATTTGAGGAGAGACCTCAAGATCCAACAGAAGTTTATCAGATGGGAACTTCCTCACTTTGCCTCTTCCTTAAATTGGGAACATGGTATATTTTATCAAGACTTTAATATGGCAGAAGCTATTATTCAAGAGTGGCAAGACCACTAGTCCAGATAATTTCCACCTCAATTTCCTGAGGCACTTTGGCAGAAGTGCAGTCTGTATTATTGAATCTCTACAACTACAGTTGGAACACTTGTGGTCCAGCAATTTGGAAAAAGGGCGATCATCATTCCTATACTTAAAAGTAATAAATCTCCGGATAATTTAAATAGCCGTCGACCCATTTCTTTAACTATGTTTTTATCCAAGGTCATGAAAACAATGATTACATCTCGTCTGAGTTGGTTTCTTTAATCTAATAACCTTATATCTCCATCTCAGGCCGGATTTAGAAAATGGATGTCCACAAACTAACAAGTTATCTTGCTGAGTCAGTCCTAGGATGCTCCGTTTTGGCTGTGTTTGTGGACTTTTGATAAAAATTGGCAACTCAAATGTATAGAGAAATTATAAAACCTGGGTGTGTGTGGTAATATGCTCTCTTGCATCAGGATTTTTCTTTCACAAAATTTCAGTGTCACTCAATTTGACAACTTTAAGCAAAGCAAAACTGGCCTACCACAGTGTGCTGTGATCAATCCTATTTTATTTAATATCTTTATTGATGACCTACCGAGTATCTTCACTTCTGATGGACTGATTAACGCTGCCCATTTTGCATATGATCTTGCTATTTGATGCTATGCACCTAAAGGTAATCACTCCAAGCTAAATACCGTCCTGAATAAGTTTCTCCAGAGGCTGGCGTTTGGACAATAATATTATTATAAACTTGGGAAAGACTACTAGTCAGTATTTTACATTAAATAGACAGCCTTCAAATTCTGATCTGGTTTATAGAGGTTCTCCTTCGCAGCATAATGATGTTTTAACTTATCTGGGTTACATTTTAAATGGATTGAGCATGCTGAGTACATCATCTCAAAAGCTAGGAAGAGACTCCCCATTCTTAAGAGTAAGCTGGTGCTAAATGGAGATGTGGCAGAGCTACCCTTAACACTATTTATAAGACCCATGACCAGCCGGTTTTAAATTATAGCAATGAAGTGCTGGTCTCTGCCTCGGATATAGTCTTGGGAACACCTGATGTTTTCCGAAAACCAGGCTTTATGCCTGATTCATTACTGGAGGTGTTAAAACTACTTCTGTACTTGCCATGAATTTACTTTATGACCTATAGCATATGACTAATCTGATTTGGAGGAATGCAGCTATCCTTTATAATAGACTTACTACACTCCCAAATATTTCTTTTTGGCGCGAATACGATTTTAATAGCATACGTAATCTAAAGACTCAAGAAGGGCTTCATTCAATGTGTCTGGGAGAACACTCAATATAATGACATTAATGACAAGGAGTATGAATTGTTATCTCATATAAATCCACCGGAGTTTATGGTTCTTGGTGTCAGGTGGGACTTTGAATATGAGGAAATGAAATTTGAATATGCCCAACTGCTCTTTATGCCATCGCTTTGGAAACCATTAATACTCACTGCCCTTCTGGTGAGTGGCTTCATATCTACACTGATGGTTCCCTTTTCAATTTCACCCACATCTTCTGTGAGCTGTTTTACTTTTACCTACATGTTGGCTTCCTACAACCCATTTAGCCCTTCAACAGCTTTCTACCCATCTCTCTCTTCTTGATAAGGCTATAATTTTATCAGACTCAAGTTCTGCTCTTCAGGCTTTAGCGAGTAACCTAGAAAAACAAAGTGCTTGTATCCAGAGCTGAGGAAAACTATTGAGCAGAGTTCAGACAAAAATTGCTTTCCTGTGGGTGCCATCACATTGTGGTCTTTGGAGAAATGAGATGGAGGCCCTTTTTGCAAAAAAAAAAAAAAAAAAAAAAAAGGTATGGATATGCTCCAAAGGTCTTCCAGAGACCTATTTCTCTACTCTGCTAAACTTGAAATTAATATGATTTAATAAAAAATCCTTTCATAATGCTGCTGTTAGTGCTTCTGAAAATAAATCATGGAGGATGCTACTGAAAGCTGGCTGTGTTTCAGACTCTCCTCGTGCTACTGCTGTGGCTGAGTTTAGACTATTGACTGGACATTACTGCCTTGGTGCTTATTTGTTTAATTTTAATCTGACTTCCTCAGCTTTATGTTCTTTGTGTGATTCTGGACAAGTCATGGGATGCTGCTCATCTGGACGTGTGCTCTGCACTTTAGAGTTTGGACTGCATTGTAAAGAAGTATTGGAGAGCTTGTTGCCTAATGACCTGATGTCAATGGCCCGACATTTGATAAATAAATAAAATAATTTTATTAACATACTTTCTTTTTTATATATATTATCTATTAATTTAATCCGATATACTAATTTACATTAAAAAATGCTAGTTTCTCTTATAAATGTGCTTAGAACCATATCAAAATTTCAAATCAAATATATATTTTATATAAAGGAGAAAATGTTAATGAAATCCAAATTTAACTTAATCTTACATGAACTCTCCACATTCAAAAATGGTTTGTTTAAATAAACCACTCTCTGAAGATGGATGCTTTATATGACGATGGAGGAGAGAGTAGATTAGTTAATTATTTTCCCTACAGAAATTTTCAAACATTAAAAGCTGAATAGTTTTTAAACTAGCCCGCTTTTTTACATTTAAAAGTTTTACCTACATGCCTATTAGATATTAAATATAAGATAAATGTCAATGAAATAATGAAGCCTCATTTAACTAAAAGTTTCACATGGCATATGAATAAAAAGACACTGATGAGATAAAATCATTAGACTTACAGTTTGAATATACTCGTTGCTGACGAAACGACCATTCAGCTCAGAGCAAACCAATTTGAAGGCACGATTTAGGTAGTAGGCAGGTTTTCTATTGTAATAAACAATTTGTCGGAGAACCAAATCATAATTATGAATGGTATCGGCCCCTAAGATAAGAAAAATTAACATTTATTGAAATATATGTTTTAAAAAGCATATTTGAAGCAAATTTTACACACAGCTCCAAAAAGACAATCTCAGAAGTGGGATATTTTTGTCTTAGAGCTTAATAATTAGGCCATATCTGAGATTAAAATACGTTACTAATACACAGTCATATAAAATGCTCAATTGAGACTATCACAGGTACATAAAACATAAAATTTAAATTGGTTGTATTTTAATGTAAATACAGCTGTTATCCTCTGATAAATCTGTTCTAAACCGAGTTACAAAACTGTGCACAACAGTGCCTTGGATGGCTAACTACGATACCATAAAATATTGGATGGCTAACTACGATACCAATATTATATAGATATATATAATCTCTGCACTTTCAGAACTGAACTAACAGAGTATTTTGCAAGGATGAGAAACATCAAACAGGCTGTACAACCTACAGTGTATACTCAGCAGCATATCAATTAGTTTGAAAATTACCCTCAAGGATACTGTAGTGAAGTTCATGTAGATATGAAGCATTTTCAAATAAATTATTTCACTTAAATTTACTTCTTCAGAATGAAATCTTATGAGGCTATCTTTTGATAATACACTGAAAATCTGACAGGAGTGAACTGACAGACTTTATGATATTATTAAAATATTGAGTCCAAGCATGATGTCATGTTTATGCAAAGCTGGGTTTCTGGCATTCGCTATGGTAGACACCAAATATTACGAGAAAAATCACTATAGAAAAAGATATGAGGCATCCATGTCCAGCTTCATTTTAAAAATTGAAAGATATGCAATGAAAAAAAAAAAAAAAAAACCACATTCTTCCCATTAATTGTAATTAATTTCACACGACATACGAAAAAACAATATGTTCTTCAAATTGACTTAATTAACGTGATCACTCAATAATATGTTATTCAAACTATATATTTTGTATAAAGTGTTTCTTAATTTGAAATGTGTTTCAATTTAATCAATCTAACTGTATCAACTACACAATACTGTAGCTGTCAGAAGTCATATGTTCTGAGTAAACATCTCAAAGGGAAGCGCTTTAACTCGGACGATGAACTAAAGGACTGGCTCCTGTCACAGCCACTGGAATTCTGGGAACAGGGAATCCTTCGATTCATGAAACAGTGGGATATTTGTGTTCAGGCCTCTGATGAATAAAGACTTCAATTATAACCACAGTGTCATTTCATGCCTTTTTGTTTGAACACCCCTTATTTTTAAAAAGTGCATACATGTATAACAATTAGAAAAATACCTATTATTACATGCTCTAGAATTAGAAGAAATAAGAACAAAAATATAAAAAAATATTAAATTAACTGAAAAATTTCCAAGGAAAAAACAAATACACAACTTATATAATACCGTTATATTTGCAAAACACATTTATTCATATAACTTTTGAATGTATTAAAACCTTCCTTTAATCAACTTTCATTTTTGAAGAAAAATGACAATACAAAATATGAATAAAGAAATTTCAGTGTTACACATTTATAATTTCATACAAAAGTTCTCCAAATTCTTCTTAACCAGGATGTAAGATTACATACTCAGTAATGAATTACATACTCAGTAATTTAGCATTGCTTTCTAAAAAAAGAGGCTAACTCACCAAATATAATCAAGCCATCTTTGTTTTCTTTATAATGAATACCAAGATGAGTCATAAGGCTGTTGGGCAATTTGAAATATTCATGATCAGGATTCAAGGGAGGATACACTTGCACACTGCAGGAATCTAATTTATGATCCAATGAATTTGGACCGTTTTCTTGGTTGCCATGTACAGAATATTCTTCTTCTTGGTCTTGACTAATTAAAACAGAAACTGATGCAAAAAGCTGAATACCTTGTTTAAATGCTTCATATTCTCTAGCTAAATTAGGAGTGCCATTGATTGTAATACTTGGCAATTCTGGCTGCAAGACCATGATATATGCCTCAACAGGAGGCACTTTCACAGTTTTTCCTCTTGCACACCTAGAACAAGGAAACAAATTTAGTAGCAATTAACAAGCTGAAGAATAACTATCAGATTATTACAAAAATTGACAAATCTTCAAACTGAAAAAAAAGGTAAATTTAAAATTAAACTCACGTGACCGTTGTTGTAATCTGAACACTGCGACGTCCTGGAGTTGGGAACTCTCGAGAATTGACATATCCAACTCGAGATATTAAATCTTCTAAATTACTTTTGCTATTTCCTTCAACTGTTACTTCACTCAAATCAGAATTAGTGAGAAGTTCCTAATTTTTGCAAACAAAAAGGTATAATGTTTACAGTATGGGGGGGGGAACATTGTTTATTACAAAAAAGTAAATTTGAAGCACCTAATAATAAATCTTATTACAATACGTGTAAATTTTATGCTATTCATTTATCAAATATCTGAACTCTTAAAACCAACATAAAGATATAAAGAAGTAACCAACAAACATAAAAAAAAAAAAAAAAAAAAAAAAAAAGCTTTTTAACTTTTCTGATAATTTATGAAAGAAAATAAGTATGCCATATGCTAGAAAGTAAGCAATAAAATAAACAGAACTTTAACTTTAGACTTCAAAACTAAGGGTTAGGACCAAAAGATTCTGAAGTTAACATGAAGATTATAAGAGCTTTTTTTAATCACAATTCTAAAATGCCCTCATAATTTTTGTACCAGGATTCTTTTATTTCAACTAATTGCTTTAAATGGTTTGGATTCATTTTAAGGCACACATTAAATGTGTTTAAAGGCATTAGGATAAATACTGTTGAGAAATATACATGGCTTAATTCAGCCACACAAGGAGTTAAAAAACTCGAAAAAGTAGAATATAAAAGTACTTCATAGAAATGAAACATTAAAGGATTATTAGTGACTCTTATTTTCTTCTATAATATTTCTGTCGCTTACTGCAACAGCTGATAAAACTGTGTTTGATGATTCATGGATAAGACAATTCTAGTTAGGCTTGTTACCTAGAAAGTTTCTGCTGTAGAAAAATATCTTTATTATACTTATAAATCATACTATCATTCATGTATGTTTGCTCTAGACTATGCACTCAGAATAAATACTTCTGGAACATGCAGCAAAATAGGGTTTGCATTAGGAAGTAAGGCCATAGTAAATCTTACTCCACTCAAGTAGTAAATGCACTCAGGTGAAGAACTGCTGAATGATACACTATAGTCCAGAAGATACGATAGGTGCTATCAAAAGAATACCTCTTGTATGTGTCTGTAACTTGTTTAAAGTTTCAGAGTAACTTCTGAAATGAGCTAGGGAAGGCATGGAAATTATGGCAATATGTATGGACATATTGATGGAAAATAAAAATCTAACCTTCAATCATTATTCCTTATCATATATATATATAAAATTAAAAAAAAATAATAATAATAAAAAAAAACTTCATTCTAAGAAGCTTACGTGGCACATATTTATTAGTCTCATCCTAGAGTTTCGGTGTAGTTACCAGAAGACAATGCCAAATACAAAATGAGCCATGTGGCAATTACAATTTCTGAAATGTCCGTCTTATAATCCAAACATCTCCCGAATTGATCATCATTTGTTTTATGCTTCAGAAAACCACATATGCACAAGATGAAGACAGTTCTGAAATGAAGCACAGATCAAACTGAAGATGTACTTTCTAAAGATAGGATATTTTACAGAACATACTTGAGCTTGCATCAGTAGGAAAAGGTTATGCAATGTAATGATGGCTATTTGATGACTAAATGTCTTTTTGTCATATATTGATTGTTTCTTCAAGTTTTGTATAAAAAAAGGACAGAAAAGTTTTGTTACATTATAATTTATATAAATCAGACATATGATGCAAACAAGAATCCTATATGAGATAGTATCGAGTCATATAAAAAAGTCTCCACACAAAAATTTTCTTTATTGAAAATCAATTTAATCAAGTACATATTGACCATTATTATTTATGACCTTTTGCCATTTTTCCGGTAGCTTCATAATTTCTTTGGCGTGGAACTTCTGTGGTTTATTGTCAAAAAACTTGACCAAGTGATTTTCAGAGGCACTTCGATCGGCCAATTTTTTAACATCAAGAGAGTTTTGCACATACCAAAACAAATGTTAGTCAGATGGAGCAAAGTCTTGGCTATACAGTGGGTGCATCACAATTTCCCAATCAAGTTCCGTCAATATGTTCTGAGTCATCAAAGATGTGTGTGGCCACGTATTGTCATGATGGAACACAACTCCCTTTCTGTTGGTCAATTCTGGTCACTCTTTATGCATTGCTTTGTTCAAACGGTTAAGCTGTGCACACTACAGAGCTGAATTGATGCTTCTGCCAGGTTGCAGTAGCTCATAATGAACAATTCCCTTCCGATCCCAATCAAATACTCAAAACAACCTTGTTTTGCGGCAATTTAGGCTTTGAAGTCATTTGTAGAGGGTCACCAACCGTTGACCATGATCACTTGCATTTTATATTCTCGTATTTCACCCACTTGTCATTGCCTGTAATGATTCGCTTAAAAAATTGTTCAATTTCGTTGTGTTTCCGCAGAATTTCACTGATGGTAATTCGATCAATTAAATTTCTTTGCGTTAATTTGTATGGTACTCAAATATCGAGCTTCTTTTTGTAGCCTGCTCTTTTTAAATGATTCCAAACTGTCATGTGGTTGATGTTTAGTCCCTCCACTATTTCCTGACAGCTTGCCTGCCAGTCCTGCTCCACCAGTTGCAAAATTTCACCGACGTTTTCAGTGACTGGCTGACCAGAGCGAGGTGCATCTTTGACATCAAAATTTCCGGAATGGAATCGAGCAAACCACTCCTGGGTCCTTTGTTTACTTACAGCATTCTCACCGTACACTTCACAAATTTTTTGGCATGTTTTTACATCGTTTTACCTTTTTTATAGTAAAAAAGCATCATGTAGCGTATTTTTTCAGATATTTCACTCATTTTCAAATTCATATAACTTTTTATGTGAGCAACGAATTAAAAAACTATCTTCACAAGCAATTGAAACTGAATATCATATTTTAAGCACATGTTCGTTTGAGACAGTCGGGTGAGTTTTCCTGGATATATAGGCATTGACACCAAACCACAGAGACTTTTTAAATGAGCCAATATGTCTAATAATGCATCTTTGTTTTGCAAAATGAAGAATTTTTCTATATATATATATATATATATATACATATATATATGTATATATAAATTTATTATTTACTTATCTCTGATATAAGCTAAAATGTTTTGCAAAACAATTGCTACATGGAATGCTGCAATTCTAAAGTGTTTTTCTCTTTTTAAATAATATGCAGAATACGAATATTAAAGTTCAGGGACTTTACTTCAAAAAGAAAATAAAAAGGGGGGCAGAAATAGAACTAAATTTTGATGTTAGAGAAACAATACGACCTTGTGGGCAGCGTATTAAGTTCATATGTTTAAATACCAATTTTTAGGGAATGCCTGCAGACATTTTCTAAATTGATTACGCACAATTTGAGTGTTGTTGTAAACAAACGTACTTTTGATATTTCTGAAATAATCTTGAATTACTCAGAACATATGAGGGGGCAGAATGCAAAAAAGTAATACAAAGATTGTAAAACTGTTGGCCTTCATAAAGAATCAAAGGCTTTAGGTCAAGACATGTTATTGTGGAATAACCAAGGTTCATCATGATGATCAGTGTTAAAGTGATACAACATTAAATTTTGCACATAAAATATTAACAATTCTAAGGTAGAATACAATACAAAGTCTTTAATCCGGACTTGTTGGGACATCGGTGATTCCGGATTAGGGGTTTTTCCAGATTAAAGATCATAAATTTAAATCTGGTAAGATGGCATGCGGAAATTATAAAATAAAAAATATGAAACCGTAATTTATGAAATAAAGAGCATTAATGATCTAAAGAGTATGAAAAAAAAAAAGAGCTTAATATTTGTTTGTTTATTTTATTAAACATTTCTTTCAATGTAAGTTGTTTAAGTTGCTTTGTTTTATGTGCTAATACTTTCTCTTTAATTCTATAAACAGACGTAATTTCTTGTTCAGTTACAAAGTTCCGCTGTTCAAGTCCTGCAACTGCTGTGCCGAGAACGCCAACTAACTTGTCAATCGAAATTTTTTCGTTTTCACTAACCTCTCTGTCACTTTCTTCATGCCTTTATCCATTTTTTTGCAGCAACTCCACTTTTTGTTTGATGGACATTGAAACATGCTTTCGCTTTGTAGATCCTTTGGCAGCTCCAGAATCGGAAACCCTTTTTGACACAATCGAAAGTTCAAGCTTACTTTTTATAAAAAATTGCTCTAACAGTCTGCAAAAAATAATAAGCCAGATCCAATTAGAAGATTAAGGAACAATACAATCTGCAACATTAACTGAAATAGATAATTAGATAATTTTAGCCTAGCTTATACTGTCCGTTATACAAGGGTAAGTTGAAAAATTAGTTCCCCTGTCGACTGTGGTCAGAGTTGTGTAAGAAAGTCAAAAAATAGAATGAGACATTAAAGATATGACACATCTTTATTTTTCCACATAGGTACCAAGTACATTGAGACATTTGTCATATCGCTTGACTAGCTTCAAAAGGCCCTCCAGGAAAAAATCAGGGCTTTGCATATGGAAGAAGTGTTGAACGGCTTGTTTCGCTTCAGTATTGCTTCCAAAGCGCCTTCCCCCGAGATTTTTCTTCAAAGCCGGAAACAGATGGAAGTCGCTTGGTGCGAGATCAGAACTGTATGGCGGATGGTGTAGGCACTCCCAACCAAGAGTTTCAATATGGTTTTGCGTTGCCGTCGCCGAATGTGGTCTGGCATTGTCATCCAACAGCAGAACGCCAGATGTGAGAAGGCCAGGCCGCCTTTCCGAATCGCCTCTTTCAATTTCGACAGGGTGTCACAGTAGCGCGTAGCATTGATGGTTCCAACCTCCAAAAAGTCCAGCAACAAAACTCCTTGGGCGTCCCAGAAAACTGTGAGGAGCACTTTACCTGCAGAGGGAGTTGTCTTGAACTCCTTTCGGACAGGTGATGACGGATGTTTCCACTCCATAGATGCGGCCTTCGATTCTGGCATGAAATGGTGTACCCATATTTCATCCCCCGTCACAATCCGAAACAACTTCACATCAAACTTCCATCTGTTTCCGGCTTTGAAGAAAAATCTCGGGGGAAGGCGCTTTGGAAGCAATACTGAAGCGAAACAAGCCGTTCAACACTTCTTCCATATGCAAAGCCCTGATTTTTTCCTGGAGGGCTTTTTGAAGCTTATCAAGCGATATGACAAATGTCTCAATGTACTTGGTACCTATGTTGAAAAATAAAGGTATGTCATATCTTTAATGTCTCATTCTATTTTTTGACTTTCATACACAACTCTGACCACAGTCAACAGGGGAATCTTATTTTTCAACTTACCCTCGTACATTAAACGCACATGCATAAATGTATTATACACACGCGTAAATGCATATGCGTAAAGGTATTATGCACATGTGTAAACGCTACGCATGTGCAGAAAGTTTGCAGCTTTGAGGTCCGAATTAAAGACTTTGTACTGTACACAAAACGATGTGTATGCTAAACTATGTATTAGCTTTTATTTATCATTTTCTCTAAATTATTCATTTAAAATTTCACCCAGAGGAATAATCTAAAAGTCTATTATCACACAATTAACTTTTCTCACCATTCCAGGTTCCAAAAGATCAGCAGGTGGAACTTCAAGGCCTTCTTTGCAACGATGAAGACAAGCCAGAACTTCAGGGTTTTCAGTCCTGCCTCTTAGTATGGACAGACCAGCAAGAAAGCCATGAAAATTAAATGCCATTTTTTCATCTTTTCCTGAAAAATGCAACACTGATAAATGCTGAACATTTTCTAAAAATATTCACACATAACTTTTTATTAATACTAACACAAAAGTTATAATCTTAATAAAAAATACTGAACACAAAAAAGTTTTAACACATTCAAGATTGTTCCTTAACTGCTTAAAATTTGAATAAAACAACAAGCTTTAGCAAATTTTAAGTATACTGCATATTAATACTTATAAAGAAATTCAGGAAATGAGTATGCTACCTTGCCAACAAGCCCCAACAACAAATGTTGTATTTATATCTTTAGCTGGATGCAGAGGCCAGTCATCAACAATATCAGGATTATTAGTCTGAATCTTGAATTGCTGTCCATCTACATATAGAGTAGCCTAAAAATAAAAACATTTTTTCCTAACTCAGATAAGACATATAACATAAATAAATATTTAAAAATTCATGCAGCGAAAAATGTCCTCTGGGTAAGATGACTTTGAATTTCAAAATGATCAAGTTAGATGACTTTTCTATTTCAAAATTACATCAAATATCACATTTAAGGATTACATTTTTTTACCATGTAAAATGTTTTTATGAAGATTAATTTTTTTTTTCTTTCAAGTGTAATACAATATGCTTATGTAGGTTTTATGTTTAACTAGCTGTTTATAATTAATACTGATATCTCAGCATAAACAGATTTCTGGTTGCCTCACCTTTTCCTCTTAACTACAATTTAGCTCATTAATTGAAGTCAGTTTGCATTCTGGTGATGGCCAATGAAGAAAACAAATGATACAAAATGTTGTCTAAAATGAATTTTGTAACATTTCTAGTGTCTACAGGCATTAATTAGCTCATTGTGTTGAATGTGATACATGCTTAAACAAGAGAGGAATTCATAACTATTTTTTATGATGTAATGCATTGAACTCAATAAGAATTAGGCCGGCCATCTTTGATAATGCAAGAATAATTCTGACATTACATTTACCTTGGATACTATTATACAATACCAAATGAGATTTGATACATAAAAATGCTCAGCAGAGTTTAATTTAATAGAGCTTACCTCAGGGAAATTAATGCTCACAGCATAGTGATGCCATTGATTATCACACACTTCGGGCATCTTCCATCGCCACTCTGCAGGTCTAAATACACTAGGTCTTTCTTGATAAAATTCTCGTCGAAGCAACAATATTAATCGGCAGTTTCTCACAAATATAGAATAATGATGTCGATTCATTTCTAAAAAATGAATTTTGATACAAGTAACAGACTTATAAGGAAAGAAAATACAGTAGTACTTTTAATAACTTTTTAAAAAATAAATAAACATTAAAAGATACAAAAACATTGATTCTTATGAAAATGAAATGTAACATTTCTAAAAAAGGCTTCACAAAAAAAGTAAAGAAATAAAAAATAAACATTTTAACAGTAAATAAGTTAATTTTAGGCATGAAATTACTAAAAAAAAGAGCAGAATTTTTGTTAAACATGAATGCAGAGTATCAGTTCTTATACTTTAAATTGAAGATCTCTTTTACACGACACTTACTATGCTAAAACACCTATTATTAGCTGCCATAGTTATTTTTATTATATTTTTCAAAACAAAATCAAATAACAATGCTAAATCACTATAAATCATTTATATATTCTTTTTGCATTCTTAAAATTAATCTACAAGAGATGGATAAAGATGCTGTAAACATGCTAATAAAATCAGTATATATATTGTAACTCACATATACCTAGTTCCATTTGTGGAGTAGTAGCTACAAATTTAAGACATAAGTAGGATACTTGGAACTACAATAAACATAAGATAAAAACCCAAAATACAACAGTCCAACAATATCAATTAAGTGTAAGGTAAATTACTCTTAGAATGGCAAAAATATAATCTAAGTTATTTAAATAACTTTGTAGATCTCTTTCATCAAAATTAATACTGTGATTTCTGTGTATAACGTAACTAGGTATTAAAGGTGTCTAATATTTTTATCTGTTTTCTCTCTAATATAATACAGATTTTAAAATGATCAACTTCCAAAAATGCAATGTGAATGAATGAGGAAATTAGAATAAAACATATCCTTTTTAAGAACTGTACATAACAGCACACATCAAATATAAAATGCTACATATTTTCATATGAGTAATCTCTACAGCATTAATAGAGAGCTACAAATTCATGTGCTAAAAATTCATTAATCATGAGACGTGAAAAATTGTTTACTTACTGTGATCATCAGCATTGCAAATTATGTGCTCCTTCATGTGTGTATCATTGTGGTCAGGATATGGTTCATGCTTCATCCAAAAGGCTACTGTAAAATTATCAGTCAAATTGTGATTTAATGTGGTCTCTGGTATCACAACAGCATTTGAAGTGCCATCAAACTCGTATATCTGATCGCTTTCATGCCCATCATCTGTAGGCAGTGTTCTTGTCCATTCAGCACCAATTCCTGGGCTAGGCAGCAGATCGATACTATCAGAGCTGGCTCCTGTTAAAAATCATATGCAATTTTAAACTTTTAATAGTGGGACGTTTCCTTCATTAGTGCATGGGAGTAACACTTTATGATCGTAATAAATCAATAGTTTTTTTAAGTCAAAATTTAATAGGTTTCTTCTCAATATATATATATATAATATGTTTTTTTAATTAAAAGAAAAATAGATGGAAAGAGTATAAATTATCTCTATGTCTGATCTCTATTTATGTTAAATATTTTTTTAATCCCTTCTTTTCTTTCCTCTCTTTTTTAAATCCTCTTTAAAGAACACAGAAAGATATTACAATATTTCTGTTCAGAGCAGTGTAACAATACAAAGGCAGAAGACACATTTAATTTAGTCTCAGATGTTGACTATACTTTTGGTATAAACATTTAACCTAGCAGCACATGAAGAGGGCATGCCATGCCCACACACACACGTTCAAAAGGCAATATAACTCTTCCCCTTTTCTTCAAAAATCCTTCAGTAGCTGAAGTGAAGGTCACATTCTTTAAATGAATTAAATTGCAATTAAAAATGATACTGTCATTTCATGGAATTTAGCCTCCCACGATTGTGAGATACAAGTACGCCTACTTGTTTAATAGTGAAAATGCTTTTTTTCTGTCATAGTCCGTTCAACACGGCTCTCACTATGAAAATGAAATGGACAGACTGCAATATTTGCTTGAAACACTTTCTACAGACTATGAAGAAGTTAGTGAAGAAAAGAAGGAAATTATTGATGATGAAAATTTTGGTCATGAATTATTGTCAGAAAGTGATGAAGAGAGAGCAGAGGAAAATAACTTAACTGATTTCTCTCTGACAGCTTTTATTATGGAAAAAATGGAACTAAATGTTCAACAAATTGAGCTAATGTTTGAGCATCGTCAAAAACATAATACTTAGGCTTCTTGGTAATATTGATTATTAGAAATATGTCAAAACAACATTTGATGCCTGGAATGTTTCGATAGATGCTAGCACGACCAATGCATTAGTAAATAGCATAAATATACATATCGATTCAATTCACGATAAATTTGTTCACCAGCAAGATGTAAAAAACCACTTCCCATAGCAAAATTAAGGCACTGATAGGTTTCTTATACATATCTGACATACACAAGACATCTCATGTAAATGTGAAAGATTTATGGACAACAGATGGAACTGGTATGTAAAGTTTTTACAAAACAATGCCATGCAAAATGTTTTTATTTTATTGAGATGCCTCTGCTTTGATAATATTCGTGACATGATGAGCAGACGACAGCACGATAAACTAACTCCTATTCAAGAGTTTTTTGAAAGATTTATTCAAAACTGCCAAAAAGCCTACACTGCTGATGATGATGTAACTATTTATGAGAAGCTTGAGCCTTTTAGACATCAATGCATATTCAGCCAGGATTTGCCAAACAGGCCCACTAAGTATGGTATAAAAATATTTGTATTGACAGATTCCAAAGTGTTTTTATCCCTGGAATATGGAAACCTATGTGAGGAAACAACCAAATGGTCCTTATCAAGTTGACAACAGCTCAAGTTCTGCTGCAAAGTGTTTGATAGAACCATTATATAGTTCTGGATGTAATTTAACTGTGCCCAATTGATACACAAGATATCAAACACCCCCTCCCAAAAAAATTTACAATGATTGGTACAATGAAAGAAATAATAAACAAATACTCTCTGAATTTGTGACCACAAAGAAAAAAACCATGCATTTGTGACTTTTTGCATTCAAAAATAATAAATAAATAATTATTATCGTTTCCTATGTTCTCAAAAGAATAAGGGCAGGATCTGTCAGTGATGCACAATGATGATGAAATCGATGAATCCTTTGGAGAAACTCAAAAGCCAGAAATAATTACATTTTTACAACTTAACAAAAGGCGCACTAGATGTAATTGATGAAATGAGTGCACCTTATTCTACAGCTAGAATATCAAGAAGGTGGCTCATGGTAAATTTCTAAATGATACACAGTGCAACATCTCAAATACTTCTTATATCCCACAAAGATCCACAGTCAGAGTTTAGAACCAGAAGACATTTTCAAAAATCATTAAGACTTAAGCTTCTAGAAAACTACATTGAAGAAAGATGTAAAATAGCTATTTACAAAACATCTCTTAAAAAAAATTATCAATTGCCGACTCCAATGAGCCACCCATGAAGGTAGTTAAATCTTGCTATAAACGGTATTCAGACTGTCTCAGCAAAGGAGATCAAAAATCTAAATATTGTTGCCCTTTAAGTAACAGACATATATGTATGGAGCATTTGCCTTCAGTTTGTAAAAACTGTGAAAATTCCACTCGTAAGTAAAATTTATTTCAATTAAATTTAATTTGCTTTACTTAACATTTAAGGTATTTTTAAGCGTTATACATGAGCTCAGGTATGTGTTGCTCACGCGCCTTTCGGGTAAGCATCGGATCAATTAGCAACTGCTGATAAAGTCGCATTTTGGAACCGGACGATATTCTCTTCAACAGATGGCGCCACCACCGCAGCACTGACCTATTGCGTGACCTTCGTGAATTAAGAATTCTTCCAGTTGGCCATTCCTACTGTCGCTCATAAGCGCCAAAACGGGAACGCGGCCAAAGAATCTTTCCTGAGAAGAATGAAAGCTTCCATAGACGCAATGTAAACCTGTTTCGCCTCTGCGCCGCTGTACCGAAGAGCCACGGCTATGCAGTGAAACACCAGCGCAGGGTGAAATTTAAACAGCGCAGTTCGAGGAGATAGTAAATTTTTTACTTTGAAATAACTCAAAATGTTTTATTTTCATACATTTCTGGAGTTTTATGAGCAAAATATGTTAGTTGGAATTTTGGGGCTAATTATAGAAACCCCGTCCAATTTTTACTTTCAATTTAAACAGCGAGCCGTACGAAGACAAAATTTAAATGAAATAAATTTCTTAATTATCTTCTGTAAACTTAAAAAAGGGGGGAAAACACATGCCATACAAAACGTAATAAATTTTTATGGATGCATAGTTAAAATTTTACAGTGAAATTTTAAAAGCAAAATTTGCAATAACTAACTGAAACAGAAAAAAAAATATTTAAAGACAATTAAAGGCACCCCTAAATAAATTGAAAACACTGAAATACATTATAATTATCCGACAACAACTTTAAAAACAAATTATCATGAAAACGTTTAGACAATTATTTGGAATGACCATTGTGAAAACCAAGAGCAAAGTTTTCACCCAATAGCCAAAACCATTTCACTTACAGCATTACATGCAAAAGTCTTTAAAAGAGTTTCACATAGCTAAAACCAAGTACCACTGACTACAACAACAAAGAACGCTTTCGAACAACGTGGTAAAAGATTGCTAACATGGCCGACGGCATGCTGCATTCTTTGATGCTGCTTTGTTGCCTCCTGGTGTTATTTCGCACATGCGCAGTGAGGAACGGAGGGTGGATAGCTTTGGAATGGTTTGCCCCTTTAAAGTAAGCTTCAGGGATATACATAATGTGTCTCTTCCGTCTGACGGAGCCACATTTGCCCCGGGGAACCTTTACTTCTTCTCCTTAGAGATTCTTTGAACGCGGCATAGGCAAAGAAAGTCTATGTAAAGAAGGAAAGGCTCCATAGACGTAATATAAACCATAGACGTAATGTTTGTCTATGGTTTACATTACGTCTATGGAGTTATAAAACTCCATGCTATAAAACTCCATAGACGTAATGTTTGTCTTCTACGCCGCTAGAAAGAAAAGGGACAATTCGCCAAGGGATTTGGCGACGGACCTGTTGGCGAGAATTTCTGTACCTGGCCGAGATTTTCCACCTCCGCCATGTGTACAGGAAATTGAGGAACACTGGTGAATCGTTCTTTGACTTTTCGCGATAATTTAAACTCGAATTTTCGTGCTTTTTTGCTTTATTAGTTGAACTTGTATTATCCATATCGCAGTTTGATATCTGATTTTATATCTGTCAATATATAGGGAAAAAAAATGGAGTCACACAGCTTTAAACTCTTGATAAACGTGACCGTCGAACCTGTTCGAACTTCGACATCAGCTTAGAGCTTTGGCGCTTTTTGGCGACAGATATTTCACGCATGCGCAGTTGTGTTCCTTTTCGTTCGGAGGGAGCCACTCCTGCTGCTGCGAAGCTTTCCTTCTTAACAATACATATTATTTGGCATAGGGCCGACAAAATTAGGTCTCTCTGTCGGCAAACAGCTCAAAACCGGTTTCAACTCTATGCCGGTGTCTTCCATAAACGTCCATCCTATGCAGCGTTGGTTCTATGAATGAAAACCTCCTTTTCTACTCCCATTCTCATAATAGCATAGAAAAGATTCAAATGCCGTTTTATTTCAATTAAAGACAAACGAGACGGTTAGCATTCCTGACACAGTCTACTAAAAACAGTAAAATCGAATTTAGTGTGCGTGTGTCGGAGAGAGGCGGACTCTTGATTAAATTACATTATTATGAATTGCATTTAAGATGTACTAAGACTAAGAACATATAGTGAATTTGAGTTTCAAAAAGCCATTTAAGAAGTGGATTCTGTTCTTATTATTTACATTTTGATCTTTTCATGCTGCTGTCACAAATTTGAGAAAACACAACAAATGCTGCTGACAAAATAGCTGGCACTACCTATCAGGCATAAATTGGACAAAGGATAAAATTTATAGAATTACCGTATATTCAGGCGCATAACCTGTACCTGTAATTTCAATTTCAATTTTTTAATTTTTGGGTATATTCGCCGTATAACGAGTATCCCTTTTAGTTAGGAAGAAATCTTAAAGATACATGTACGATGTTTTGATGATTTGAAGATTTTTTTCAGGCTTTCGAGCTATGCTATACTGAACTGACAAGCGATAAGGGGAACAGAACGTGTTTGAGGGTGTAAATAATTCTGCAAAGAAGACTGGCTGTATTCAATGCAGGTGTGCACAAGTATGTTATTCTAGGGTTTCGATAAAAGCGGGACCTAGTAG